GTACGCCCAACAACCAACCGGATGAGTAGCGTTACGCAAGGAAGCAAGAACAAGAACGGGGTCACGACGGTACGACACACGACATCAGTATGACCATAACGAATCCATCTCTGTCGAAGGAAAGAGTCTACATAAATAGATTTGCAATGAATCCATAGAGTCAGCGAAAGTTCTGTTTTCCCACGATTTCCCGAGCAGCACACAGTGGTATCTCCCCCGTGGGTAACAGGGTCAACAGTACAGTTTGGAAGCCATCCTGTGCATCTCTCTGAATGCTGGGAACGTACAGAAGGAATGTGTTGTGTAGTTGGTTCGACATGCGGCGAGATTACGCGGGTTAGTTACCCTTCGCGATGAAACGATCTACACCTGCGGCGTAGTTTGTGCAACGTACACCGAGCACAGAATCTCAGGCATTCATGCAACGGAACCATGCGTGTAAAGTCCTGCACACCTTGCGCAGCCTAACGTCCACCTCAGGCATCGACCACAATGGCTTTGTTCTCTGACTGGACGCAACCTGGTGGCCATGGCTCGACCGGATGCAGGGATCAACCGCGGCCCCACTTGATAAGTTAGCTCGACGCGAAGGTTTCTTATCCCCCCCCCCGAAGGTTGGATACAACCAGGTAGGAAACATGGTTAGGCTGCAGGGTGCCGTAGGAATGTCTTGGTCGGGATTCTTACCCTCCCACCTTTGGCGACGGGTGTCCGGGCCGCTCTGGCGTTGGTTGCTCGATCTTGTTCCCCGATCAATGCTCTCTGTTGCGGTTCACTTTCTGTACCCGCTACACTACTACATCGTCTACAACACTTTCATGCGTGGTTGTATCTGCCACGGGACGAAAACACACACACACACGGGTTCAGCCAGCATTTGGCGGGAATAACTCTCGGTCCGAAACACAATGTTTCGGCCCACGCACAGGAGAATCGACTTGCAAGCGGCGTCAAAACCCTGGGGTGCGGTATTCTGGAGTGGGAAGTGGGTACAACCAGTACAACCTTGGCTGTACCCACCACCCCGCCAGACCATCGCGCCCCAGGGTTTTGAGACCGCCTGCAATTCCGGTTTTCCGGTGTTTGGGCCGAAACATTGTTGAGGCCGCCCAAGTGTTTCGGAAGTGGGCTGTCCCGTTGTCTTGACTCATGATGAACGCGTACCACGGCGGCCAGCGCGCGGTCAACGCGGTGAGCACTAACAGACTGCCGCGTGACATGTGATGATAAGCGCCAGCCCTGATCTAGGGGTGGAAAGTGTGTGCAACTTAGAATTGAGTGGTGCCGAGTTCAGCCGAAGGACGGAGGGCGGGAAGGTTGAGCCCACCCTGATTCTGGTGCTGAAACACCGATGCAATCTCTTACAGAGACAAGACTAATCTACGATGTTCCAGGCAAATACACTCTCACCTGCGCAGATCATAGCTATTCTCTGCGAGTTCGACTGTAGACATGTGCCAAGCGTTCCATCATCAACACAAGCGAGCAAGCAGCGGTAATCCATCATCCGGTCAGGCATGCATGCATGCAGGCGTGGTCATGACTCACAGTTGTGATATCAGGTCAATAGCGCTCAGGTCGGGTTCGTTCACAAAGGTCTCGTGTTCAGTTTCCGGACACAAAGGTCACTGAGAGCTAGGTGCTAGCTCTCATCGGAGGAACCATTTCATCATTGCGCGGGATTGGTTGGCCAACGGCAATTGCGCCGTTGGTTCCATGATTGCTGCGAAGGACGGTTATATCTATCCTTCGCAACCCCCCCTCCAGACACTTGTCCTTAAATGCCCAAGTGGCTACAATTGTGCTTGCCCAAGTGGCTATCACCGGGACATACATTGGCTCCGGACTCTTGTGCCTTGCGCCACAAGAGTCCATCATTGCCCTATTGTACTCCGGTCACTTGGCCTCGCGGTCAGAAGTGTCCATCATCGCACTATTTAGAACCGGTGCATACGGCCGTCCATAACACCCCCCCAGCATACAACGTGGTACACGGCTTTGCTAACGGGGCGGCCGTACGGTTCACGCACACGACTCGTACTTCCCTGCCCAGATATTGTATTCCGAACACTTGGGACTCGCGGTCACAAGTGTCCATCATCCCACTATTTAGAACCGGTGCCTACGGCCGTCCAGAACAATCAACAATGAAAAAGCGAAGCGCCCGACAGCATGTCAGCCAGCGGTGGGTACTCATTAGTCGTATCGTAAGCAAAGTGCCATGAGGTAGCGTTTACCTGTGGTGGACGAACGGCTCACGTACCTCCTGTATATGGTCGCCTTAGAATATGACGGCATTTCACTTAAATAGCGCACACGTACGACCCCTTCCCACTGTTTGATAGTTGGGATAAACCTGGTCCGTTATTAAGAGGTACGCCGCTCCGGTGTCGGGATGACCGTCCCGAGACCGGATTGTGGGATGCGGCGCCGACGGCGAAACGACCGAGATTAATCTCGAGAATATTCTTCTTAGAGTGAGTCCATGCGTGTGGTTAGGTTGCCATAAAACCGCTTGCTTTAGGACGCATATACTACACAAATACTAAGCTCCGTATGATTGCGGCATTGCTTTTTCACGACGACACCGTAGTTGTTTCGAAGAAGCATCATGCACTCGATAACTGAACATATCTCCATCTCTTGCCTCGCCTTGCCTTGTTCTCGATTCTCCGTACTTGTGCATCCCTCGTTGGTGTTTGTCCAATCCTCCTGTTTTTCTTGTGCTGCTGGTTCCAGGCAGCTGCTGTCAACGCTCTGCTCCAGGCTGGGCCTCGCGAAGTTTGCCATGGACGAGATTGTGGAGGAGACCATAAAGGCTGGCTTGCACATACCGGCGGTGACTATTTGTTGTGATGTCTCTACTCTGCTTGGCGGAGAAGAGACGTGACGACGAAAACCGTCACAGCCGGGCCGTGCACGCCAGCCCGCATGGTCTCCTCAATTATCTCGCGCATGACAGACTTCGCCTTGGCCCAGCCTGGAGCACAGCGTTGACAGCGGCTTGGCAGCAGCAGAATATTGGATCGTCACACATTCCGCGAGCTGGTGCAAGCAACGCTACTCAACCGCCTGGTCCTCTAAATTTCATGTGCCCCTCTCTCGATCGAGCCATTTTACACCGGCTCTATCCAGTTGCTGCAGGCCGAAATGCCGAGCAATACGCCTCGATAGATACCCAAGAAATCCACCACCGTCACCGGAGCGTGTTCCTCTCGAGGCCCTTGAAAGAAAACCTCACTACATTTTCTGGCGACGGCCATGTGTATTGCTCGCTCTCGGGTCGTATGTGTATATTGCATCTTGCTTGGTGCAGCCGTCGAAACCACAAGAGGGCTCGCGTTTGTATCCTCGTGGGTGCCCTGAGCGTGTTTGTTGTACACCTTGGAAATGAGTTGGTGTTCCTGCTTGACCGTCCACTTCATGTGAAACGAAAGATACTTTGGTCTAGGTGTTACACACGCCTTTTGTGCGTTGGTTAGGGGTCACGTTGCGGTGTTGTACGTTGGAGTCACCGGTGTGTATTTGCTCGAGGTGCCGTGAGGGGGGCTGTTTTCAGTCGTGTATCCTGGTGCACGTCTCTATGTCTCGTCGTACGGCAGTAGTAGTTGTTGCCCAGTCGGTCGTGGGTTTCTATCTTCTATGAGCTACAAGTATGCATGTCCTTCTTTTCGTGCTGAATATTCCTTGTTCGTGTTGGGGTGCGCCCCTTTGCTTGGTCGTCGTCTGCCGCCAATCAGTATGATTGAAAAACGGAAGATAGATGAAGAATGGCGGGGTGGGAGAGTAGACTAACCAGCAGATATGCTCATCGTCCGGATCGCCAAGTTTGGTAGAAATTCATTAACCTGAAGAAGTGCTTTGCATTTCTTCTGTGGAAAGAGGGTCATCACCTGTTGAGGGGGCTCACTTTCTGCTTCTCGTGTGATCAGAGAGTTTAGCCCTCCAGTCACTATCATCATGGTATCGATCGTGGATATCTTTAGACTGCCGTTCATGTAGCAGCGCCCTGCGATGCATCATTTTTCGAGACGAAGAAAAACACAACAGTCGCCCCAAGAAGCATACCTCACCGGGGGTAGATGTATCACAAACAAACATGTGAGCAAAGAGAGAGTTATCTCCCGCTCTCCGAACCGTGGTTTTGGTTGTAGCGTGTGGAACAAACAGAGCATCGAGTGCAGTGCGTTGGACACCACACCCCGTCGGAGCACTGTTACAGCAGTCTGGAACTGCTGCTGTATTTCGAGGCCACATCGTGGGTTGTGTCAGTTCTCGAAACCAATTACGTCCTTCGGAGAACAGCCTCAATCGATTAAGCTAACCCGCAATCAAAGTATGCCAAACCTTGACCGTTATCGACACAAGCCGGTCGAAGGAGCGCGAATACCCCACCTTCACAAACAAGGAAAAGTGTAGCACAGAGGACTACATAAACCCACACGAGACGGCAACGCCTATGACGACACAGAGATGTGCACCGGGATACACGAAGAAAACCAGCGCACCTCAAACACACGCCTCTCGTGACTCCTACTTACCACAGCAATATACCTCCGGACGCAACGCACAGTAATCGTATGCGCGTTCCAAGAAATGCTTCGGTTCACATGTATGTACTGGGACGGTCAACAAGCACACAAACAACTTATGCCCGATGTCTTTCAACACAGCGTGCAACGAAGGTGCACAACAGGTACGCTCAGCGCAGCCGCGAGGACACAAGATGGCTTCGACTGGACCAAGCAAGACACGATACACATACGAACCCGAGCGATCGACACAGACACCAGAGACTATGCCTCGAGGAGGGCTGAGGCACAATCATCCATAAACTAAAGGTCCATTCTACAACTGGTACACAGAATACGAGGGCATTTTGTTATCGCCACACACACCGCGAGCTGGTGCAAATAACTCGCGTAAAAGTGCACTCTAAGTTGTACCACTTGCAACACCTGCTGGTCATCTGTTTCTTCCAAAGAAAGGACGGAGACGCTCTACACCGGCTCTACCCAGCCATCGCACGCCGGTACTCCGACCATTGCGGCTCGGTACCCAGTCAAGAAGTGCTCGAGCGAGACAGGCGCGTGCTCCAAGATGTCCTTGAAGGACTTCACGCTGCTTGCTGCGGCCATCAGTGGGATCTTCACCATCACCACCTGGAATGATGGGACACCAGTGAAGTACAGCCGCAAGTGCTTGTGTTACGAAAAGCGGTCACGTACGCATAGACTAGTATTGTCATGATGAACCATGTATGAAATGCGTACTTTGGAACACAGCCAGGTTCTGTTCTCCTCGCAAACAACCCAAAAAAGACTAGGGAGAGGGCGACGAGAGGGAGGAGCGTCGAGGTTGCATCCTTCTTGTTCAGTTTCCTTCTCAAGATGGAAGAACAAAATATCAAGTGCTGGGTGGTACGGTGCAGAAACAGCCGGGGAAGGGGGCGGTAAAGACACGATGACGGTAACTGGAACAGGTACCGGTGAGACGCCGCCATCGATGGCAATCTACTCCTACTGCAACGGCCTTCGCTTACCACGTCGGCGTCCTCCGCCCCCTGCTTCTCCGCCAAGCAGAGAAGAGACATAACAACGAATATCGTGACAGCCGGGCCATGAAGGCCAGCCCGCATCGTCTCCTCCACGATGTCGTTGATGACACACTGGGGGAGGCCCAGCCTGGAGCAGAAGGTCGAGAGCGGCCTGGCAGCATCGACAGGAGAAGAAGAGGAACATTGGACAAGTGCGGCGAGGGGTGCCAGCGTAAGTACAGAGAATCGAGCACAGGGAGAGGCAAGTGGAGATGGACACGTGTTCGGTCGTCGCATGCATGCATGGTGACAACTACGGCACCATCTTGTCCAAAAATATGATGCATCCGTACTGAGCTCGGCCTTTGCTTCCGAAACCGAGCAGATATGTCAACCTACATGTACACCATACAAGCGTGGACTCACTCCATGAAGATGTGTGCGAGAATCGTGTCGGCCATGTCGTTGTCCTCGTCGCAGCCAACGATCGGGTCGCGTGACAGCCATCCGGACACCGGACCGGCGTGCATTTTGATCACCGACCAGGTGTATCGCATGGCCTGCTCAAAAACAGTGGCAAGACGTAAACCAGCAGTAGTACGAACGCATTTTGCCGTCGTAGTGTCAGGCGGTCATGTACGGGAGGCACATGGGCCGTTCATCCACAGGTAAACCTTACCTCATGGCATTTCGCTGACGATGCGGCTAAAGAACACCCATCGCTGGCGGTACATGGTGTTGTGTGTTCCGTTTTTCATCGTTGACTATGTTAATGGTATATTTATCATCAGAATCAAGGTGGGTTCAGCCGTCGTCTCTCTCCTTCCGTCGGCTGAAAGCATCCCCGCTCATTTCTGACGTGTACACACGTTCCACCCCTACGTCAGCACGATACGTCCATAGCACATGTCACGCAGCAGCAGGCTGCTGATGCTCACAGTGTTGATGCCGAGCTGGCCGTCCCTGTATGGGTTCATCATCATCCACGCCAAGGGAACGGCCCACTTGGTGAAAACTGCGGCGGCCGCACCCAGGTTTCCGCCCACACAGATAAAGATCGCCTTACAGGCGGCGTCGAAGCCCTGGGGCGCGGTGTTAAGGTGGGGGCGGTGTGGGTACGGCCAGGATCAGGTGAACGAACAAGCCAATAAACACTGGCTCTACGCTGCGGCAGGTACACTGCAACGGAGCAGTTCTAGGACAGGGTAGCAGCGGGCAGAGAAAGTGAACGCTTTGGAAATCCACCAAGCAACAGAGAGCACCGATCGGGCAACAATATCCTCTTGTGTCACAGATATGTCCAACCGCAAGCAACCAATCCCGCAGCCACTCGGACAGCCATCTCGCGCCAACGGTCGGCGGGCAAGGATCCGGGCCAGAACAGTCCTACGGCACCCCGCGGCCTCGCCATGTCCTCACCTGGTTATACCCGATGACAGGGAATGCCGCCGCCAACTTGGTGCAAATCTCCTTCACAGCGGCGGCGACGGCATCGCTCACTCCCAGGCGGCTACGATCGACCTCAAAGAGCTCGTCGCTGCCTTGGCGTCTGAACCCCGCCCGGCGCGGCATGTCCTGCACGCTTATCTTGCGCGCCAGGTCCAACAGTCGAGCGGTTCTCCTGGCGACGGAGATGTCGAACATGGCGAGGAGGCGGTCCTTGGCGTTGTTGATCTTGTTTCTCGCTGAGCGCAGAAACCTACGAGCGGCAGCTGCGGCTCGCTCCCGCCACGTAGCGCGTTGGGCGGGGGCGTGGTTGTCGTCGTTGTCGTCGTCGCCCCGGCATCCCTGACTCGCCCTCTGGCCGTTGGGGCCAATCAGGAAGCGAACGGCCACCATGATGGTGGCGACGATGCTCTTCAGCCAGTTTTCCCGTGGCCGTTGTTGTTCTTCGGCCGCACCAGCCGCCGCATCATCCAAACGCCACAGAGGCGGGATGATGGTCAGCGGATAGTCGTCGGGGCCCTCTTCGGCCGATGGGAGGCGGGACAGCGGCGGGGTAGGGGAGGCGTCCCCGATACCCACCGTGGTCGCGAACAGGAACACCTTGTCCACGAAGGAGTCATTGCGCCTGTATGTTCGACGGGCGGCACGTTGGTGGAGGTAACAAGATTGTATTGATTTCGTTGTCGGATACACGAGAAGGTTGTGCGTTGCTGTGACCTGGTTTCTACTTGGGCTTCTCTACGCACGTGGTTCTACTCGCACTGCTGCCGTGGTTCGTTGGCGTGGTCTATTGGTCTATTGGCGTGCCCTCAAGCGCCGAGAAGACAATGTTACGCGTTCGAATGTCGCCGGGACGCCGCGTAAGTAGTGCTTCTTCCTGAAGTACACCTATTTCGAATTGAAGCTGTAGTTGACCAGGGGGAGAGGATTCGTAGGCCCATATTGCCCTAACGCCCTGACGGCATGCAACTTTAGAGGAACCGTCTGTGTGAGACCCCGGACAAGAGCGCTCCTGCCACACGGAGGGTGGATACTGCGAGCACTGACAGTATATGGGACGAAATACTAACAACGGAGAAACATGCAGCATAGTTTCACGACGGTTCTCATTTTTCTTTTCTGTCATCAATCCGACCTGATGGACCTCGCCATTGATTGGGCTACAATCAGCAGTAGTCTAAACGGTGCAAATTGCAGTTTCGATTAAGCACCCTTCTGGTACCATCGAAGGTCGCCAAGAGCAACGATCCCACATTCATCCAAGACAACGAATCACAATTGTCTCAAGCTATGCGCGCGAGAGGTGTATATTCGGCAAAATCTAGGCTTGAACTGGAGACGGGCGGGTCGACTTGACTGACTAACCCCAGTCAGTATGACTCACCCTGGTGCGGTACTTGAGGGCACCTCGTGGCTTGGGGATGATACGGAGAAGGCGCTTACCGCCAACGCCGCGATGATGATCATTCTCGTAAAGAGAGAAGCGTACATATTTTTTCGCGAAATCTGCCGCACTTGTCTGTAGAGAGCAAAAGAAAACGGATCAGTAATTGCACGGAGGAAGCGGGCACAGCAGCAGTAGCTACTTGCACAGTCGGATAAGGCAGACTCGGCGAGGCCAATGCCATGAGCTACAACAGGCCCAAGCGCTACCTATCCAAGCGCTACCTAGACGACGACCTACAACGCGATGGTTGTCTACCCTCCACGATATTCACAATTGATTGATTGCCCGTGGCTGTGGCACTCGTGCCAGAGGGGACTCTCCGTGCAACTTCGTCTTCGTCACCCTGACTGAGTGTCGTTGAGCGTTGTTTACCGCACTAGACCACTCCTACGTGAAGTCATGGGTACGAGCACTGAGATCTAGCCTACTACAGCAGCGATACGACGTCCGGAGGCATCGACCATTGATTGTTCCCTCTCGTTTACAGTAGTGGATGATCCCGTCACTTCCTCTATGGTGCTCCTCTATTCTGTATACTTGCACCACCGGCCTGACTCGCCTGTTTTGTTTTTTCCAGTTGTAAAGTCGATTTCGGTGCCGATTGATGAGGTGGTCCACTAAGGCTGTGAAAATTGTGAGCAGGTGGGCAAGAGGGTACGAGAGGGCTGGGCGCGCATGGTCGGATCTTCATACGTGGTCAGGGACTTGAACCGAGAAAAATATCGTTGTCGGTCAAATGCCTCGTTGAACCGAATGACGGGACTGTCAGATGCGCCTCGTTGAAGCGAGGAACAGCGGGCGAGGTATTCAGGCGTCTTCTGAAAAAAGAATCATGTGTTTTTGGCTCCTGGCGAGCTAGACTATGTTACATCCTGACTGATCTGCATCATCAAGAGACTCCAATCGTCCAAACAGGCTCGCTTTCAAAGGCGAGCTTAGCTGCACCCAAACTGTGTAGATCGACGACACACTGTCACGCGTAGTACGCGCTAGACTGCCACGCGTAGTACGTGCTAGCTGTTCACCTGTATGAAGTGACAGAGCTGCAGTTGATGGTTAGGAGTGATTTCTGCAGGCTAGGGAAATCACGTGTGAGCGTGTGAGTGTGTTCTGTGAGGTGCGGTGAGATGTCCTCCCAACCCTCCACGTGAATTGGGAGAAATATCGCGCGAACCCCCTTTGTTGTCGAGCATTTCTCATACAAATGTGACGACGAATCTACATACAGAATATAGTAGAAAAAAAAATCAGTCCGGAAAAGCGTGAGAAAGATCGTTTACCCATATCTATGTACTACAGTAGTCTATGCATGCGGTATACTGGTGTAGTACGTAGTCGGTGTATAGCAATATTTGACAGCAGTTTTTCGTCTTCATTCAAATTTGTTGTAGGGAACTCTCTGTGCGCTGCACGTCCAGAACAGCACAGAGACTGTCATCTCAACAGGTCTGCAAGGTTTCAATCCAGAGTGCTTGCGTGGAGCCATACCATTGTGCTTCCATACCGTTGTGCCTCTCTCATTGACGGATGGAAGAACAAAAACAGCGTTTGTTACCGTTCGGGCCAACCCAATTTGATTGCGCCGCCTCAAACTTCACTCTCCGAACACATGCTTCGCGCGCGAAGGTCTCGCCACCCAAGCAAAACACCTTCGCCTCCAGCGATGATGTTGGAGTCCTACCAATCACCACGTACGCCCAACAACCAACCGGATGCGTAGTGCTACGCAAGGAAGCAAGAACCAAGAACGGAGCCACGACGGTACGACACACGATACACACTAATACACTAATACACACCTTTTTCAACATGCGGCGAGATTACGCGGGTTAGTTACCCTTCGCGATGAAACGATCCACACCTGCGGCGTAGTTTGTGCAACGTACACCGAGCACAGAATCTCAGGCATTCATGCAACGGAACCATGCGTGTAAAGTCCTGCACACCTTGCACAGCCTAACGCCCACCTCAGGCATCGACCACAATAGCTTTGTTCTCTGACTGGACGCAACCTGGTGGCCATGGCTCGACCGGATGCAGGGATCAACCGCGGCCCCACTTGATAAGTTAGCTCGACGCGAAGGTTTCTTATCCCCCCCCCCCCGAGGTCGGATACAACCAGGTAGGAAACATGGTTAGGCTGCAGGGTACCGTAGGAATGTCTTGGTCGGGATTCTTACCCTCCCACCTTTGGCGACGGGTGTCCGGGCCGCTCTGGCGTTGGTTGCTTGAGGATGCTCTCTGTTGCGGTTCACTTTCTGTACCCGCTACACTACTACATCGTCTACAACAAACACCTCCACGTGTGGTTACATCTGCCACGGGACGAATACACACACCCTCGATGCGAACTCGCGATGTGTTCAAACGTCATGGGCTACTGATCGACCACTTCCAACAGGCCCAATCGGTTGGGGTCTCTGCGACAACTATAGTGATGAGGGTAATACTTTTAGGAGTGACGGAGACGAAGGAAAGGGAAAGGGAAGAAAGGAGGACGAAGACGACGATGGAGGAGGAAAACATGGAGGAGTGGAAGAGAGCAAAGGGTGTGAGCCAGATGACCTTCCCCAAAACAAAAAACGTAGGGCTAGGGAAGAACTGCCCAGAGATTCTTGTCAAAATGAGGATCAGTATGATAGTAGCGAAAACAAGGAGGACGATGATGAAATTACTCCTAAACGAACTAGGGTACAAGGTAACAGCCTTGGTAGACACGTCCAGTTTTCTTCTGTTGCTGCTGTTTCTGCATTTGAATCGAAGGATAGTTTAGCCTCCCCCATGCTGCCCCCTCACGGGGTCCCAGTTCATGGCAGATATAAGTATTTTGTGTTTTCAACCGCACTAAGACTGACGTCTTTTCATTCGTCAGCCGGTTAGCGCGGTCGATGCTAATAATGAAAACACACACGGGTTCAGCCACTTTTAACGGGAATAACCCTCTGTCCGAAACACGTGGACGACCGCAACAATGTTTTGGCTCACGCACAGGAGAATCGACTTGCAAGCGGCGTCAAAACCCTGGGGTGCGGTATTCTGGAGAGGGAAGTGGGTACAACCAGTACAACCTTGGCTGTACCCACCACCCCGCCAGACCATCGCGCCCCAGGGTTTTGAGGCCGCCTGCATTTCCGGTTTTCCTGTGTTTGGGCCCAAACATTGTTGAGGCCGCCCAAGTGTTTCGGAAGTGGGCTGTCCCGTTGTCTTGACTCATGATGAACGCGTACCACGGCGGCCAGCGCGCGGTCAACGCGGTGAGCACTAACAGACTGCCGCGTGACATGTGATGATAAGCGCCAGCCCTGATCTAGGGGTGGAACGTGTGTGCAACTTAGAATTGAGTGGTGCCGAGTTCAGCCGAAGGAAGGAGGGCGGGAAGGCTGAGCCCACCCTGATTCTGGTGCTGAAACACCCATGCAATCAACAGTGAAAAAACGAAGCGCACGACAGCATGTCGGCCAGAGGTGGGTATTCATTAGTCGAATCGTAAGCAAAATGTCGTGAGGTAGCGTTTACCTGTGGTGGACGAACGGCTCACGTGCCTCCTGTATATGGTCGCCTTAGAATATGACCGCATTCCACATATAGTGCACACGTACGACCCCTCCCCACCGTATGCAAGTTGGAATACACCTGGTCCGTCATCAAGAGGTACGCCGCTCTGGTGTCGGGATGACCGGATGACCGTCCCGGGACCGGATTGTGGAATGCGACGCCGACGCCGAAATGACCGAGAATAATCTCGAGCACATCTTCTTGGAGTGAGTCCATGCCTGCATGTGGTTAGGTTGCCATAGCTGCTTGCTTTAGGACGCAAACACTACACAAATACTACGCTCCGTATGATTGCGTCATTGCTTTTTCACGACGACACCGTATTGCAGTTGCGTCGAAGAAACATCATGCATTCGATAACTGAACATTTCTCCGTCTCTCGCCTTGCCTTGTTCCCGACTCTCCGCACTTGTGCATCTCTCGTTGTAATTGTCCAATCTTCCTCTTCGTCTTTCGCTGCTGGTTCCAGGCCGCTCCCGACCTTGCACACCCGACGTGGCCTACCGAGGGGTGTGTCATACACGAGATCATCGAGGAGACGATGAAGGCTGGTGTGCACGGACTGGCCGTGACGATTATATTGTAATGTCTCTGCTCTGCTTGGCGGATAAACAGGGGGCTCTCCGCCAAGCTGAGGTGAGACATCACAACAAAATCGTGGGCGCCGGTCCGTACACGCCAGCCTTCATCGTCTCCTCGATGATCTCGTGCATGACAGACTCTGGGGATTCCCAGCCTGGAGCAGAGCGTTGACAGTGGCCTGGTAGCAGCAGAAGATGAAAAATATCGGATCGTCACACATTCCGTGAGCTGGTGTCAAGCAACGCGTGCAATGTACACTCTTCTTTTGTACTTAAACCGCCCGGTCCTCTAAATTTCATGTGTCCCTCTCTCGATCGAGCCATTTTACACCGGCTCTATCCAGTTGCTGCAGGCCGGAATGCCGAGCAATACGCCTCGGTTGATACCCAAGAAACTCGCCATCGTCACCGGAGCGTGTTCCTCGAGGCCCTTGAAAGAAGACCTCACTATTCTGGCGGCGGCCATGTGTGTCGCTCGCTCTCGGGTCGTATGTGTATTTCATCTTGGTTGGTGCAGCAGTCGAAACCACAAGAGGGCTCGCTTTCGTACCAGTCGGTCGTGGGTTTCTGTCGTCCTTTTTTTTTGCATGCCCGTTTTTTTTCATGCTGAATTTGTCGGCGTTTGTGGTCTTGGGGCCCTCACACTCTTTGGCTTGGTCATCGTCTGCCACACCAACATGAAAGCAATTCAGAGGTAGATGTAGAATATTGGCAGGGTGGGAGCATAGACTAAATCAGCAGATGTGCCCATCGTCCGGATCGTCAAGCAAGGGTAGAAGAAACACCATGATGTAGGTTGTTGATGTACCGTCGTGGAGGTCACAGCTGCTTCCCCAATTGAATTTCTTAAATGTAGATTCGTCAACGAGGTGAGCCGTTCCGTGCCCATGGCCGCGCGCGGTTACCGCCAAGATGCAACCGCCTGGGATTTCTGAGCGAAGAAATATTGACAACGTCACTTCGTGCTCCGACAACCTCTCTTTGGCCTGTATGGTCAGGGCTGCCTAAAATCCTCCACTGCTGAATTAATTTCGATGCCCTTTGTTTCTCAGTATGCATATGATGGCGTCGCGAACGGAAAGAGACTGTAATTCTGTCACATCACATCACAACAATCTTCAGTCGTTTTTTTTTTTGTCGCGTGAGAAACCCCAATTTGCAGTCGGGCAAGCTATGTACAGTATTTACATTTCTGTAGCGAGAGGAAGATCACCGGTTGAGGGGGCTCATCTTCTGTTTCTCGTGTTGTTAGAGAGTCGCGTCCCCAGTCCCAAAACTCAGCACCTGCTAGCAGCTGCGGCTGCTGCTGTCCAAAACAACTGCCGTACTCTGGGCGACCGTTGAGCAAAACGTGAACTCACGACGCAGATATATGGATCAGTGGTGATCTGTGTCGTTGTTTGTTTTCACCACCACCAGCAACACAGCGAAGGTCATGCACAAAGAAAAGGGCGGGATGTCCAGTTGTGACCGCCGTGATGCACTTGCGGCCCAGAGATGAGAAACGTCGGGTTTGGGCAGAGGCTCAAAGTCTCACTATTAACAGGGCTCTATTGGCCTATGGCCATAAAAAAAAAAACGCACATCTACGGCTGTGGCTAATGAGGTGTTTTATTGAATACAGCACTCTCAACAGCCCACCTGCAGTAACCTACAACAATACCAACCCCGGTGCCAATTCACGGCCGCACCTACATCAACATCGGGAACGGTAGACTCCTAGGAAGAACAGCAACCTCCACGGCGCACCCCTCCTTGCGAAACCACCCCTACGCCAATAGAGCACTCAAACCCTGACCCAGTACGTAGAAACCAATCCATCACTCCGCTCTACGCCGGGGAACGGACTGCTCATGTAAATAACCCTACAAAAGAAACCCTTACCACACTCATCGCGAAATCAGCACCAACACTACCACATACCAGGTGCATGCCGCGGCGGCTACTTGCGCTGCCAACCAGAGATCAACAGGCAACCCCTTCTCATGTGTTACAGGTGTTCCGAACACCCCACCGTTTGCCGCCGGCCCTAACCTTCGGCAAAAACCGATGGACAAGCGGGTGGAAGGGCGGAGGGCGGGCACATCAAATAACGCTAGCGGCTATCTAACACCTTGCTAGTGGCGCTATGGTGCATCGGTCATTTTTTGGTGTCGCCGCTCTTGCCCGACCAAGCGTCGTCGATGAAGGTCACGTAGTTCTTCACCAGCTGTTGCATTTGTACGGGAGACCGACGAAACGGTGGCGCCGGTATCGTACAAAGCCGGGCGGGGGGCGGAGTATGAGATCACACATATTGGTAACAATAACCCGTGCACCAGACAACCCATACCAAGAAGAGCAGGGGGAGGACTTGAGGGTTTCCTGTACAGACGTTGTGGGTAGAGAGATTCATGCATCCAGCCCCAACAACAGAAAAGTGAAAAAAACAAAAAGAGGTAGGATTGGCGCGTTCACTCAATCTTCACAACCCCTTTTCCGTACAGAGCGCAAACCTCGTCTGTATTGCTACACACACATCCATCCATCCAGCGCACCCAATCATCACCAAGTCATAGTTACAACCCTGCAACCTGACGAAGTACAGTTCGCACCGTACAGGAGGCTAACCCCGACTCCCCGGACACACCTCCACCCCCCGTAACGGTGGCGGGGGGGGGCATTGGAAACGAAGCAAAAAGAGTGAACCCGCTAGAGGGTAGTGCGGGTGGACATTAGATACTGCTGTGCCCCCGGTCATACAATACGGCGCTGTAAGCTTACCCATTTCCTTTCCTTTTGCTCACCGAGACGTACTCCTCTCTTTCGTCCAGAGGCCCCAGGGGGCCGCTTTTTTGGAAGCGCCAAGACTGGAGGGGGGGGTTCCCTCCCGACAACCCCTGGGGGATGCCAGGGACGGTTTTTTCCCCGATGACATCCCCCCGCCCAGGGGGAGTAAACGTAGTCCGAGGGGGGAAAATGCCCCGGGTTTTTAAAACCCCGGGTGGAAATTGAAAAAAGGAAAAGGGGAGACGCCCCGGGGGGGGGGGGGGGGGGGGGGGGGGGCACAGCAGAACGACCAGGAGGCTTTGGCGTCTTGGTTGCCAATACCGAAGAAACGGTGGTGTGTAAAAAACGATCTCGTTGAGAGCTAGCTCTTCTTGCGAGTGTCGGTCGGAGTTCGATCGCACTCTCTTGGTTGCGCAGCAATCGATCGTACAAAATCGAACGATGGCACACCTGTGTGTTCGCCCGCACTGCTGTTACGGTACTCCAGAACCGCGAACCGTACCGTGCATGCTACAACCGTACCGTGCCGCACAACGTCAACCGAACAGCAGCAGACACTGCGTGCCCGTGGTCCCCAAAACATAGCTTTGTCCAAGATCAAAAACAATACAAAAGCTTGTTCGTCTTACCTTTAAAAAGTCCCAAAAACAATTACGCTTGTTCGTCGTATTTAAAACCCCCACTAATTCGTTTCTTTTGTCTTCTGGGCAGACACGGTTCAAAGCACCGTAAGCTCTAAGCACTTCCACTAACAATCTAGATGTGAACATTTACCATTTGCTTGTTTGTCTCATAAGTATCTCACTTCCCGTAGGTGATGAGCACGGGGCACGCCAGCGGCCCCGCCCCTGCTGCTGCCGCTGAGCCCTTCGACCTCCTGTCTTGCTTCATCGCAGCGAGCCCCCCCGCGAACCCGTCCGAGCTCCGGCCGGCCATCGCGGTTTCAAGACACAGAGGAGGCTGGGGGGGGGGATGCGACGGAAGAAATGAACAAAAAAAAGGGCAGGCATTGAGACACACGTGCTGCGATTCAACAACAACAGTGTGTGTTTCGTGAGCAAAAAAAGGCAGGCTTGAGACCCCATACTGCCATTCAACAACAGCGGTGTGTGTGTTCGTCGAGCCTGTTCCGGTGCCGGTGTACACGCCTTTCGGTGTACATTTCTGACGTATCAGGCGGGGAAAACGAGAGGACGGTCACACAGGAGCTAGCTCTTTCGATTTCGAATGTGTTTTTTTTTCTGCCCCATCTTTCCTCCAGCTTGTCTAGGACGCACCAGCTACAAGGGCGAGGCGATGGGCACACACACACCGCTGTGGTGGCAAGAACAATGGAAGGAGGGATGGGAGCCTGAGCGTTTCGTGTGTCGTCTTCTGCGCAACAAGGTTTTCTGCCCATCGTCGCCAGTGGTTCGAACCGCATGGAGGGCAATGGCTTCCCTCTTTCGAGCCCCGCTGCTGGAATCCTCCTCTGTTGACAAAACGTTAGCTTGGCATCATCGCCTGACTGCAGCTGTGCAACCGAGACTAAGAAACGCAAAACAACTACTCCCATCCTGAACATTCCGCATGCGTCAAAGCGTGCGCCCATTATTGCCGAAGAATACGGCGGTATATCAAATTTGGACTAAAAAAACGCCCGAGTGCCGAACAATTTCAGTCTGGACCGCAAGACCAACACCGACCTCGTTCCCATCCTTGATGTAAGGAGTCCTGAGAGCTTCTAGGAAGTCAGGCGACAGCTCGTTTTCGCCCAACACCGGGCTGGCCAGGATCACCGACAGCACCGCTTCTGGCTCAGGCCCCGGGGGGCGGGGGGAGGCCTTGCCCAAGCTCCTGCCGAGCTCTAGGGCGGCCTCTGCGCTGGTGCCGTGTCCTAGCACATGGAACGCGTTTACCTTGAAGTAGTCCACGACGGCACGGGTCTGTTCTTGTCGGAAAGCGAACGGGGAGAAAGGGCGTGGCGCGCGCAGAAGAAGAAACAGGGGCGGGGCGGGGCGGGGTGGGTGGGAGGTGGGGGTATGACAAGCGTGGCAAAAGAAGGATGGTAGCCACGAGAACAAAACATTCGCGCAAGGACCATCAATTTTCCTACTTTGCGACTCTGCTTTGATGGAGCTACGGCTCAATAGTACTGTGTTGGAGCTGATTACGCCAAGGAGTTCCAACATGCTTCGAAAAATCGCCCCAATGATATCCGCCAGCTGGGTTCTCTCGTCGTCGCTCGTGGCATGAAAAATAGCTGCTGAAAGTATATATTTTCTCAATGATTGACAGCGTACACCGAGCATCACCTGCGCGACGAGGGACGCGGTGCCGAGAAGGTTGGGCGAGTCCGCCGCGGCGTCGACGGACGGAAGGGCCGACGAGTTGCCCGTGCCCACGGGGTCGAATAACAGCACCACCCGGTCCTCCATCGCCGCCCCCTCCAGCGTCTCGAGGTAGTCGTGGGGCAATCCTGGCCCCCCCGGGATGATGACGACGGGGTTGTGCTGTGCCTACATACGCGTGTGTGTGTTTTTTTGGTGGTGTGGTGTTGAGACCATTTCTTTTTTTTTCCTTACAAAAAGCAACAAGTTCAGCTCTTCAACGGCAGATAAAGAGTCCAGGATAGATAAGCAATGAATTCATAGTGTTGTGTGTGAATACCAACTTGTATTTCTACAAGGTTTTCCGAACAGCGTACATTTCGACGGCAGGGTTGGCGGTAGGATGTGCCATCGTGCGAACGCTCTGGGTGGTGGTGATCGTTGGCGACAGGGAGGGGAGGAAGGGGCCCGGTGGCGGATGTACAGCGTGTTTGCAGCTGCTTCTGCAGCCTCACTCATACCGTGGCTTGGGAGTGAGGGTGTACGTCTTTTGGTAATCCGCGTTCGATCACCGCCGTCTGCCGTTGCACTGCACTCCTGCGTGAAAATGTCATTCATGATAGATATGCAGTGGAGTGGATGTGACGAACGATACAGCAGCAACTACACAGAGAGATTATCTTTGAACCGACGAAAATGGAACCCCAGCACAGCAGCAACCTTGGCGTGCCTCACCCAGAGGTTGGACAGAAAGACCGGCATGGAAAGAAACTGAAAAAATGCGGGTGCACTGGACCGGACATACAGTAGTATTCTAAGGTAACGAATGATGCGGAGATCTGTCACATTTAGCCAACAGCAGCACTTCAGAAATATATATTAGTACCATACAGCAACTGCATTGATTGTTGTGTGCTGCTTCACACCTTTTTTTGGTCCTTGCCATTCCCGACAGTCCTTGCAAACAGCTTTCCCGAGTACCCCTCGAATTTGAAAGGGATAAAGACCTCGTCGAAGTCCATGAAGTACGCCCAGTACGGGTAGGGCTCGCCGCAAAACGCCCCCGCTTTGTCCGGCCAAGTAACAACGGCGGTCGTGGCCAAGCCTGCAGCGAAGGTTCCCGCTGCAACCCGCTTCAAGAACTCCCCTCTGTCGCTTGCGCCGCCCCCTACGGCTCTCAGCTCTGTGTTACAGGAGTGCTGGTCCTGTCGACAGCTGCGCTTATTGGCAAGCGAAGTGGTGATGCTCCCTCCCGCGTGCTGTTCATGATTACCGCGGGCGGTTGAACGTGTACTACAGCAGTCGTCCCGCTGCTGCTGCCGGTTTCGAAGGAACACGTTGTTGACAGCCCCGGGCGTGAACGCAACCGATGGCAAGCAAGAGAGGCAAACCGCCGCCAATAGTCGAAGAAGCTGAGGTGGAGGGCCCATGATGTGCGGTGCAGCGTCTATGTGTGCAGCGTCTATGTGCTGCAGCTGGCCTCGTCCGGGCGGAAGTACAATCTGCACGTGTGCATGTTTCCGTTCGAAACCGCGGCGCCCCCACCAGCCCAATTGAGCCGCATCTTTGTTTGCTTTCCAGCTGCAACCACAACTGGGCTTTCGTCTTCGCCTTTGCTGCGTTCATCATCGACGCACGACGCTGTCCACCCGCACGGGTCACCATGGCTAGATCCATTTTCACCTGCTCGTTGTTCTTCAGCCACCTGGCGATGGCAACGGCCTTTTTGGCCTCCTCGCCCAAAGTAGCGCCCCTGTTCACAACCCAACCATTGTCTTCCTACTCTCCCCTCAGGAGCCTCGAGCAGCGGGCACCGCGCCGCCAACAACCTCTACAGCTACCGCACGAAGCGACGAAGCGAGGGACCGGGCGTGCTGCCACTGTGGCTCGTATGACCCCTGGGCACCACTCCCAGCAGGCTCAGGGGCGCGATGCCCCTGAACATGAGCGGCCTGTTGTTGCCTCGGCGGGACTGTCAACTTTCGACCCGGAAAACAGCCCGGCCCGCTTACCTTCGCGGAAGAAGCCGTTGTTCACCCCTCGGTTTGCCGCCTTGACCGCGTCTGCGCTCGCGGTGGGGCTGGCCGTTTCCGTGCTCGCCCCGGGTACTGCATCCGCCGCAGTCAAGGCGATAGTGGCGGGGAGCGAGGACGAGGCGCACCTGCATGTCGGTCAGAAGGTCGCCAAGTTTTTCAGGCGCGGCGGTCTGCCGGACTGGGCGACGCTCATGACGATCTCGGCGATGCCGGTGGTGGAGCTGCGCGGCGGGGTCCCCGTGGGCATCTGGATGGGCATGCCGATCGCGAAGGTCTTCGGGCTGTGCGTCGCCGGCAACATGATCCCCATCCCGGTCATCCTGCTCGCGCTGCGGTCCTCGTTCGTGCAGAAGCTGGCCAAGCCGGTGCTGGACAGGGCTAGGGAGAAGGCGGCCGGGTTCGGCGACGAGAAGAGCCAGGCCCTGGCTCTGACGCTCTTCGTGGGAATTCCGCTGCCGGGAACGGGGGCATGGACGGGGGCCATGGGAGCGTTTTTGTTGGGCATGCCGTTCCAGAAGGCGAGTGAGCGTGTGACAGTTGTTTCGACACGCATGGGCAGGTGTAGGAATCCGAGCTCGCCCTCCTCCTCGACTGCGTAGATACGATGCGTAAACCTGCCGTAGTTTCGTTTGGTGTTGGAGCTACATACACACCGTGTGCAACATAGCAGTACGGCGAATACAAAACTTTCTGTGTTTTAATGATTTTTTCTAAAACAACGGGTTTGAACGAAAAATAGGACTACAGTAAAGCAAAGAGCGAGCACCGGCTGGCTATTGTATTGGGACTACGCTTTTCCACGCGCGCGTGCTTGGGCGTGCGTAAGAGGTACTCCTGCCACTTGCCTTTTTGACCCATTTAGCAGCAACCCTTCACACGTACTCTCTCTCTCTCTCTCTCTCTCTCTCTCTCTCCCTCTCTCTCGCAAAGGCAAGGTTGTTTCATGTGCGTGTTTGGTTGCGCAACCTCGTTAAATGTTGGTTTCAAACGTGAACAGTTGCGGGGCGGTACTCCCACTGCGGGTTTTCTCTCGCGCACGTTTGGAGGGACGGGCTTAGGATGAGCTGTTGCTTTTGCCGAGCAAGCCCCGCCTCTCATGCACGGTCTATCAATACGGCACATGGTCAGCTACAGCACGGCATCATGGCACCCACATGAGATGCTGTCGTTGTGTGTGGTTTCATCCCATTTTGTTTGGGTCCCAGTCTACTATGCGTAGGTCCCAGTCTGCTATGCATAGACGCTACACCTCTCGGTGTATGTTTGACGCACCAGCCGGGGTCAGGCAGGAACGATGAATTTTTTGTACCCTTTGTCTGCTTCAGTGTGTTGTTCCTTCGCCTCGCCTCGCCCACCTTTCTTTTCGATCGACAAAGTGCCAGGCCAGTCCCCCGCATATGAGGTATTCGGAAACGACGACACCACCTTCACTTGTTGAAAGGCAACCGAGGAGGAGACTCCCAAATATTTGTCGAATTCACCCCAGCTTTATCGCTACAATTTTTCCGAGTGTACCAATTATTCCACCCTTGCTCTACGCAAGCCACCAACCGTATTTGAAACATCGCCCCCTTGGCAACTCGGACGCTAACAACCCTACCCACGCCAACGGCTTGCATGCAGGCGATGCTGTCGATCTTCGTCGGTGTTGTGAGCGCCGGCGTGATCATGAGCTGCCTCACCCTCGCCGGTAAGGCCGGAGCTCTCGTCGCCACGGCCGTCCTGGCGGTGTTCTGCGTGACCAACATACTGGGAGGGGGAGAGGACGGGGGGAACAAGGCGTCCGACTTCGCGTCCAAGTGACCGGAGATGTCAAGTGTGCGAGGTTTCCCCAGCAGGGAAACAGAAAGAAAATGAACTCGCTGGCTGTTTATTGAAAGCCATTTGGTCGTGAGACCGAAGGTCGTGCCTCTCCTCCGTAAGGTGCTCTATTAAGGGGGCCGTAATTTTACCGCTGTTGGTGGGTAACAAACGCACCTGGTAGCATGCAGTAACAACAAACGTTCTTTTGACGAAGGGTGACGATACTACCTCGCGCTAAGTAGGCAGATCGATCGCTTCTCTGCGCTTTCGATTCCCGGTACTGGTGATACCGTGCTTCGGAGGGGGGTTGAACTGAACTGGAAGTCGAAAGGAGCGCAACAGACAGCAGCCAATTTTTTTTCAGAGCAGGTCGTATTGAGAGCTGCATGGTAGCGTGTGTCGCGAAGTATGAACGAATGGCGCCCTACTGCCTGTGTTCTATGTTGATTTTTCGTTTTTTTGTTGTGTAGAGGAAGTTCATATTGAGAAATGCGGTGACGTTTTTGGGCAGGTCGATTCGCTCGGGGTGCGCTCTATCACACGATTTGTATTGTTTTGGAAACCGCATGGTTGGGGTTCGACAGTGAGCACAGCGCGTGGTAGTGGGGTTGCCGCTTTCAACTCTGCGTTGCACGTCGTTTAAACGCTTAAAACTTACCCCTAAATAGAGGCCCTGAAATACCTAGGTTGAGAGGGTACCGGGGGCCAAAGGCGGTGATTGGTCAACAGCGTAAAACACGATGAGGCTTTTGCTGCCCGGAAAAGCGGGACTTCGGTATTGCGTGCAGCAAAAAACAATGGCAAGTTGGATAGATTTGCTGAATCGAAGTACCCGAGGTGGACGGCACCCCCTATTCACCCCCCATGATGAGCTGACCTCGTGTTGGCGCTACCGCTGACTGGACCGTATGTGGCACGCTGCCCGTGCGGAACCCACACGCATCGCCCATTGCCCGCTGCTGGGAAGTAGCTTGTTGTTTTGGACTGATTCTGCGAGCGAGTCAACGTTTCGCGCTGGTTGGGTTGCGGTAGAGGTTGCTTCCCAAAATGTGCGATGTAAAAAGCCAACGGCCAGTCCAAATAAGTGCTATAGAGCAGGCCTGAGGATGAGGCTTAGACTACTGGCAACGCCGCTGATGCTTAGCTTCGTGTGTGAGCTGATTTTATTTACAGGTCCCGCGTGGTGCGCATGGTCTATCGCCCTACCTGTTTGGTCACCACGTCACCTCGCGGCAGTGATTTCGCCGCGTTTGGGCGTTGCTGAACCTCGATTGGCATTTGGGTGTGGCAAAATTACGTTCAAACGACGCAAGCCCTTTTTGGCCAAAAATCCAATTAGGTCCATCCAAATTGGGTGCTCAATTTAGGCGAACTTTTTACGTTCAAACAGGCCCAATGTGTGGTTGTAGAGAAAAAAACATTTGTGGCACGCAGTTCGCTGATCGGCCGAGAGGACCCCCATCGCCCTCCCTTGTATATCTCTCTTCAGAGAAGTTGGACACAATTCATCCGTCGATTTTCCCAGGATCCCGGCCTTTCGATCGTGGATGACGCTGCCCGTCGTCCAGGGATCTTCGGTCGTGCCTGTTTTTTTTAAATTCCGCCGCAGTTTTTATTTCACCAATCAGCGAACTGCGTGCCATGTATGTTTTTTGGAATTCCGCCGCAGTTTTTTTTACCAATCAGCGAACTGTGTGCCACAGATGTTTTGCCGCAGGGACGGTGGTCTGATTGACCACGAAATACTGAACACATCTTCCTTCATTTTTTATCATGTCATCCTCCATTTACAATTTTAAGCTTCACTTTGTGAAGCAATACACCGAGCAAGCACGTCATTTTTTCCAACCAACATTTCCGAACCTCCTTCATACGCCCGGTGCCCCCCGGGCCGTGCGCTGGATATGACGCTGCCACACAGCCGTGGGGCACAACTCTAAATAACGCTACTCTAATGCCATGGGGTGAGCACATGAACGGCTGGGCACCTAGACTACCTCTCTGATTACAGAGGACAAGAGACGCTGGCAATACACCTTGACAACAATTTGTCCAGTATGAACTAGAGCACGCAATATGTACTGCTGTGCACGTAAAAATTAAAGACCGGTATCAACCAGTGTAGCAGCAGCAACATCACGACCCGACAGCAATTCATGACAAACAAACGTGTAAATCAACGTTACGGGTACAGCCATGCGACGCCCCCCCTCTCTTATATTTCGCGCCGTACCCTACGGTCACACCCTTCTCGTTTGCACAATGTACGCTGGAAACATAAAAACAATGGTTTGGATGGAGGCCCGAGGCACCAGCTCACCACCAGCGTTTAGTGAACGTCAACCCGCAACACTGCCTTCGTTGAAAAGACTCAAACCAAGATATAAAAAACAGCAACAACCAAGACGGATACCAAAGCCACACACCCGCGCTAGATTCTAATTCATCACCCCCCGCGTATCGTCTTCATGCTATATCATCGTATTTTTCATCGCGAAGTCGCGCCTACAAAATACTATTATTAGTATCACATCCGTGACAAGAACAGGAATACATTCCGGGAGGCTGCAATCCTCCAACACCATGCCTCACACACACCATTGCCCCCACACCACCACAACACCTCGCATATCATGCATTACAACAGCACAAGCACACATCGTACAAAACAGGTATATACGAAAGACTCTATTCTTGTTGTCCCTCGCTTGGGCCCAAACTCAAGTAGTGCTCGGTTCTCAGGTGGAGGAGGCGGAAGCAATAGCGGGGAGACAACACATCAAGCGAGCAACCAGCCGATGTCAGTCACCCTTTGACCCAATCGTGGTTGACAAGCTCCTCGAGGCTGGGGCGTCTCTCCGGAGCCAACAACAGGCAAGACTGAATCAAATCAGTCGCCTGGTGTTTTTGTGTTGGGGAACGGAGAGGTAGGGGGGGGGGGGACGACGCATGTTAGACAACAGGCACAGCAAATTCGCAAGGTATCAGCCAAAATACGCGTACAGCGTAGTGTACGGGAAACTGCGTGGGCGGGCAAGAGGCGTTACGTGTTCAATTTTCCATAAAAAAAAAAACGCCCGGAAAGCTGTTGAAAATATGCCGGCATAGAGCACCAAAAGGGAGTGAGGAGCGCACCGAACGGATGCTTTCAAAACTGGACTGCAGCCTTAGGCCACTTGTTTAGCTGTCCTTTTTTGGGCTGTCCCTTTTCTCAAAAAGGGACAACTGACCAAGAACCACTTGTTAGGTGGTCTTTTTTTTGCATTTTTGAACCTCCCGAAAAGGGACAGCGAAAAAAGATCGCCCCATCCTGTCCCTTTTTGGGCAACTTTGTGACAGGATGGGAGGGTCCTTTTTTGTTGTCCTTTTTCTGTCACAACACATGACACTTGCCCACAAACTTGAATATCTCGACGGATGATCCCCGCAAACTCTAACGGTATTCGCACGAGTCGTGTCATGTGACTGGTACGGAGTCAGTAGCCTCGGCGATAGACGTAATGTTGTCATTCGGCTGACCAGGTGGACAACCCGATGTGTGCGGCAAACAAGCGGCAAACGAGCCGAAAGAGCCTGGACGCAGCAGCGGTGGGTCTTTTTGGTGCACAGTCAACTTTTGCGAACCCAACTTCTGGGCGACCTATAGCGTCCTGGTCTGTATCAATCACCACACAAGACGAATCAGACGCACAGCTCATGGCGGATACCTTTGTCATCGCTGTTGCTTCGGTGTGTGACGAGGGAGCATCGATGAACCAAAGTTGCAACACGGGAAAAAGAACAAAAAATATGCTTGGAGACGCGGCGGGTCATTTTTCCCGCTTGTCCACCACTCTCGCGCTCACAACCTCTGACCGCCCGTCAGCCTCCTGGTCTGTATCAACCACCACACAAGACGGACCATACACATAGCTCGTGGCGAATACCTTTGTCATCGCTGTTGTTTCAGTGTGTGGCGAGGGAGCATCCATGAACCAAAGTTGCGGCATGGGCAAAAAAGAGCAAAAAAAGCTGGTTGTTGGCGCGGTGGGGTTTTTCAAGGTGCTGTTGACTCTCGCCACCTCAGTTGCCGTGCCTCCCACTGCCCTGTGGTCTCGATCAGCCGCCACACAAGGCGGACCAAGCACCCAGCTCGCGGGGGATAGCTTTACAGTTGCTGATGCTTCGCTCTGTGCGGAGATATCACCGAAAAACCAACTCGGTGCCAAGGTACTTATTGTGTGACGAACGGCCGTTGCACTTGTTGCAGGGTCATTTTTTTTGGCGGATGAGCAAAAAGGATCGACCAGCACCGTAACAAGTGGGTCATCTTTTTGCTAGAATATTTTTTGGTTCGTCCCTTTGTGAGAAAAGGGACAGCCCAAAAAAGGACAGCTTAACAAGTGGCCTTACCGCTGAATATCAAACGGGGGTGAGATGGGACACTCATGCACCCCGACACGAGGCGCGCTCTTGTTAGCGAAGGCAGGAGGACTGATGCTCTCCTCGACTCACCTCCGGTGACAGCGGCATATTCCACGCCGACAGCAGTTCCGTGAGTCTCTCCCTCACGGCGACGGTGTGGAATCGCATATCATGCGAGGGAAGAGCCAGCTCGAAGGGGGCAACGCCCGTCAGCATGCTGTGGGGAACGTGAACGGGGCGGGATGGAGGGGGGGCAGGGCGTTCAATGGCAGGGGAGAGGCGACAAGAGAGAGACCGTCGCCTACTACTACTGCGTGCCACAAATCACAACACATATCCCTCTGACGTGTTTGTACGATGCGATGGTTCGAGCACTACTCCTACACGAAAAGGCAACCTCGCGGAGCACAACGACGCCCGATGCAACAACCGTAATTGTTCCACAAATGAGGCAATCCAGTCCAACACGACACCACTAGCAAGTACGAGGCTTCGGCAGCAGGAGGGCAGCCAGCTTGCTCCACTCACGCGAAGACAAGGATGCCGCACGCCCACACATCCACGGCGAACCCGTCGAATCCGCTTGAGGTTGAGCTTGCCACGACCTCTGGCGCCATGTAGTACGGCTTTCCGCACGGCCCCTGGGGCGGAATGATCCTTGCGCTGCCGTCCTCGCTCTGGGGGATGCGCAGTGCCAGCCCGAAGTCGACAAGCTTCACCACACCCTCCTCGGCGAACAGCAGGTTTTCCAGGCTCACATCTCTGCGTATGAGATGCCCACCCAACGTGAAGGAAGACAGCGGACGAAAAACACACATGTGGTGTAAGACAAGGGGTAAGGAATGTGGTAAATACTTGGGGTTTGGAGTGCTGTTTTCTGGTAAGCAACAAAAAATCAGGTGTCTTCAAAAAAAGGGACTGAAGCCAAGGGGGAAAAAAAAGGCGACATAATCTACGATGATGACGTACATAAGCCATGCGGCGGCAGCCATTGCCTCTGCCAACACGTTCTACACAAGGATGTACGCGTAGAGCACTACAAATATCACCGAACCGCAATCACTCCGCCCCTCTTTCGATTCTCTCGAAAGGAAACACTACTGTACACTGCTGTTGCTCGCGTATCACAGAACGATGACATACGCTCACACTTCACGTGCCCGCTTACCGGTGGCAGACTCCGTGTCTCTTGAGGTGGAGTAGCCCATCCAGCACCTGGCGGAACAGCAGTCGCGCCTGACCCTCTTCAAATCGGCCGCTGGCTGACAGCGCGTTGAACACCTCGCCCCCGCTGTAGAACGGCGTCACGATGTAAATGCTGTTCTCGTCCAAGAGCGCCTGTATTCAAAACGGTTCACAACAAGGCAGGCGCTCAAGTGTTCAGGTGAAACCCAAACATTATTCGGCAACGTAACATGACATACCAGCCAACAGTTGCCTACATCCATGAACCACAACAAACTTCACTGCACGCACGAATGACTCGGCTAAAAGAAAAATAATGCAACGTAGGTAAAACCCATGGCGAACCATTTTGTTGATACATGTAGCCCAGCCTACTTCTTTCTTGACTGTGAAGAGACGGCCACATCGGTGCGATGTAGGAAGAGGTAATAGCGCATGCCAACAGCAACAACAACGACAACAAACAACAACGACAACGACAACAACGACAACCAACAAAAACAACAACAAATGTAACAGGTGCAAACGACAACAACTTGTTTTGCTTGTTTCTACACGATCTGCCTGACCTCCGTGCAAGCGAGGACGTTCGGGTGCTTGGGAAGGTACTGCAGCGCGGCGACCTCCTTCAGCGGATCCTCGTGCGTCCGTCCCTGCATCTCGATCAGCTTGTCCACCTTTAGCTCCTGCAATAAACGCGAGCAAAAGAGCAAATTGTAGATACACAGCAGGCGGCGAATAGTATGTAGTGGCAAGCAAGGGTGATGAGCAACGATGTGCCAATGACGACCTCAAGCATTCTTGTGTATCTTCAAAGTGCAACCAAGCAAGAGGCAGGTGTGCCACACACGTGGAAGCCCCTCAACCATGGACACACTTCGTCTACACTACAATACACATGAAGAACATGATAAAATAGTTCTTCAACTCCTGTTGCCAGACTTCTGTACATGATGAGCTCTCAGCGAATCTTATTTCAAAATAACCATTCCTGGAGAGGGTACTTCAACAGCACTGCTGCACAGCACTGGTGGAACATGATACGGACCATACCTTGATGGCGAAGTACGCAGGCGGCACCGCCGGCGCCGCTTCGCCTGAAAGCTCTACGGCACGCAGCACCTCCCCGAACTGGCACCCCCTGGAGGAGTCGACCACCCTCCAGCGGCGGCCTGTCGCCTGTGACACGAGCGTGACGCTGTCGTCGTAGTCGACGACCTTGAGGGCCGGCGAGAAGTTCGGCTCGGGAAAGCTAAGCGGGCCTCTGGCATCATCGTCGTCAGCAGTGGAAGAAGACGTGCTGGTATCCGGCGCCGTTGATGCCGCCTGCTGGTGCGGCGGACGTGTACTAGCGGGTTTTTGGTGGACTGGTTCCGGACCGGTCCGCGTGGTCGCCGTACGTCTTTGTTGTTCCTGAGGCGGCGGCGGCGGCGGCGGCGGCGACGGCGGGGCCGAGCTGTGGTGGCGACGCTTGTTTTTGAAGACCTTCTCGTACCAGGAGGAGCTCGACCGCTCTCCGCTGTTTGGCTGCTGTACTGGAAGAGCCATGATCTTTTTCCTGCTGTGCGCGTGAGAATGTGAGTGACGAGGGCCAACGGCGGAGAGAGGGCGGGATTACTACACCAAATTCAGCGCAACAATTTTCACAATTTGCCGTTTTTTAGCCGCTCACTAACCCCGCAGCAGCACGGCTCGTGAATTCCCCTGCACAAGGCCGACTGAGGAGGGCTGCACAGCCACGCTGCGATCCAGACAACACAACCTTGGGTATACAGAGAGGTTGCAGATGGTGCTTGAAAGAACAGTCTACAGCAGCACAGCAGACAGGTGGCGGTATACTCGGTTGCCGTGCACGGCGGTGTGGGCGCGCTCGTCAGCAAATTCGCTCGCAGACCTCGATGCTGCAACTTGTGCCATCGGTGCGTGTGGACCATTGCAGAGCACGCGTCCTACTGAGGACAGCCACCAAGACAAGCTGTGCCGAGTTGATTGTCCGGCGTGCAAGAGTTTGAAACACCCGGCGCCGACCACAAGGACTGCAGGCCGACTGCAACATGCCATGGTTCATTCTCTTGGTTGGCAGTAGGCACCGAACAAAAGATCTACTCTCATCATCAGCCATAATGACAAAAAAGCACCACCACCATCACCTCTCGAGACGCTGCCAGCAGTACGACGGTGCCTTGGTGTCTCCCTTGCCCTAGGTCCCCAGTTGTCTTGCTAGTTGTTTTTGTAGTTTTATCTCCCTGGCGGTGGTGATCTCGGCGCTGCTGTGGTTTTGACGCAGGCGGTGAGAGAGAAGTGTGCCTCTTGGGAGAGAGACACCAAAGAGGCGGGGTACGAACGAAGTATGTATGAACGACGGCAGACGGAGGGATTCATGCGGTGTCTCAATCTGATTGGTCGAGCTTCGACTGCATATATTCAAACTTTGACATCCACCCGAGAAGAGCCACGTGCCACATGATCGAGAGAAAGAGAGAGAGATCTCAAAGAGAAAAGTGCAACGAAGTTTAGAGAAAAGTGCAACGAAGTTTCCCTTCTTCACTGCGACAAGCAGCTAGGCACGAATAGACTATGCTTGCACCTTGCGTGTTGTGTCCCTTTGGTGATGTGGTGCTGTTGCGCGATGCCCGTTGACTTTATTTAGTCCTTTTGTTTTGTGTCTTTGGGTCCTCTTGCGGAACGTGTGGTCATCGTGTTTGCGGTGGACGGCCGACCCCCGCTACCCGGTGTACTTCTTCATGTCGGCTAGGTTGGTATTCAACTCAAGTCGAAGCGTTCTCTTTATCGGCACTTCGTTTCCTACCTGCTACAGCAGTAGTGCAGCAGCAGAGTAGTCTTACCGGGTGTAAAGAAGAGCAACACTTGAAAAAGATTTCAGACCGGGCTCGCATAAAAATACATAGCGTGAGGGCATTGCAGATATTCCTCTGGTGGCTCTACAGCAGAAGTCGACACAGAAAGAGGCCTTCAAAATCAACAGGCAAGCACGGGATAGATACTGCTGTAGGTTGAACCCCATAGCGGTACTTCACACGTAACACGCCGCAACCAGCGTTGCGGCCCGTATTTATTTGGGCTCTTGTGCAGTTTGTTTCCAGCAGCGGAGCTCCAGGTGACGGTGTCTTTTTTTTTGTGATGTCTCAGCATTAATCGTCTGGGAAAATCTATCATCCTACCGATGCCGACTATCGAACACAATAAACTAAAACAATTCCGAAACAACTACAAACTCCATCTCAAAAACCACAAGGCATCGACTTGCACCCGCACAAACGTACGTACGTAGTTCAACACGGCATGCACGACCACGTTACCCCCCCCCTTCCAGCATCAACTCTCCGCCCCCACCCCCGCCATCCGGCTGAAGGCCGTCGTACGGCCCCAGGCCGAAAGAGTTCTCGAGGGTGTCGTCGGCCCCGCCGCCGTTCCCGTCCTGCAGGAATAGCCATTCGCTCATCTCGAAGAATTGGTAGCTGACGGCGTAGTGGCCGGCGCTCTGTCCCGCCTTGTTCTGTCGCAAGGTTGTCGGGTGAGGTTTCCAGCGAATGGGGGGGGGACGGTCACTGGGGTGAATGTGGTAAGGCACCGCAGAGTAAACAGTAGTTTGCTTATTGGAGGTACGGGGAGCGGTAGGTAGTGGTCGTATCATGCGTGCCGCTCGAGTATGGCATGTAGGCCAAGAGCACTGCACGTCACCGAGAGGCTTGTCTACAGGAGGAACATTCGCGCACCTGGTGGTTGGGGTTAGCCCCCTTGTAGACATAGAGCTTGGCCATCTTTATGTTGCCATTTTGGGCCGCCACTATAAGAAGGGTATTGCCGTGGTCGTCAGTTTTGTTCAGGTTGAACGGTTCCTGAGGATAGACAGGGGGATTGTTTTCGGGGGATGCATCGCGTCACGGGAGGAAAATTAGTTTCGTTTCAAGAGTGATGCACGGGTAAATAGAGAGGCTGCCTTTTCTAGACTCAGACGAACTAAGGCATGGGATACCAATCGCAGTAGTAGTGGTGAGGGAACGGGGGGACACTCAAGAGAACATCGACGGACGGAAATGAGGACGTGGGGTCTATTGGGGGGGTGTTGTGACGAAACTAGTGTCGGTGCTCGTACGTCATACGTGATAGCAACTCTCGTCGCTGGGGTGGGCGCGAAGCTTGACATCCTCCCGTACTTGCACGGCCAGCACCCCGATCCCAACAGCGCTTTGCTCGAAACTAAAAAACGACCGGGTAGAAGTTGTGTTGGCTTTTTGCGATGGGCAAACCTCCCACATGTTTGGGGAACTATGGCGATCGTGTATGTATTTTTTCACGGTGGAGCATGGGTGGAGCCTTGCGTCGCGGCTAAAGCCCGTGCCGCACCTGCTCGTAGGCGTCGACGTACGCCGTTCCGAAGCCGGTCACGTACGGGACGCGAATGGTGCTCGTGTCGAACCTCCGATCGGGCAACGGTTCCAGTATCTCACGGATCTGCTTGTACTTGCCTGCTCGATTAGATACAGGTGCACGGCAGTGTAGAACATAGGTAGGACGTGTTGGAATCGCAAGAAACGGGTTGCATGTCACAACCAGAAACAAACGGGCATGTCCCACCCAGCAACAAACGGTCATGCCCATCGCTCATGGTAGGAGCAGGTGCGCTGATCTCCCCTGTCACCAAAGTACGGGGCAAACAATACACATGATAGCAAGCGCACGTCTTACGTCTGCTGTAGGCATCACTTTAGTAGTGCTACAACACCGACAGCATTGTGTGCGCGTGGTATTTGGCGTTTTGCACGGCGCACGCACGCATTCACAGACGACGTATCCACCCACGAAAGTATACTCGAAAGCAACCGGCAACGCCAAGAGACAGTATAACACAGGTCAGACCAACACAAAACACATGCAATACCTAGCATATGATACACTCCGCCGATGATTTTACACCACACAGGTCTCAATTTATCTCACGTACGTACCTCGGCGTGTGAGCACCAGGAGCTCCTTGAATTGGATCGGCACCGACACGGGCCCAATACCACCGCCACTAGCTCCCGGCGAGCCGCCCCCGTCAGCCGTCCCGACTCTGCCCAAAGCCTCGCCAGCGTCACCCAGAATGACCGGGTCGAACCCTTGGTCGAATGATTGCTGATGAAAGCCCTCCGGAGAGCCCTGCATCCCCTTTTGGCTCGACATCGCCTTTCAAGTCGAGAGGAGGGGGGGGGGGGGGGGGAGTGTCGGCTCAGTCACAAGGAACACCTGTTTCGAGCAAGGCTCAAGACCGTACTGCTGTGTCTCAACGACTTAGCGCGGTCTTGTACTGACCATATGGGGTTTTGTGCGGTGTCGGTGGCAATGTTTTTTACGTCTTAAGTTTCTCGTTTCCTTGTGAGAGTGGTTCTTATGAGCGGGTCGGCACCCTGTGTGAGAAGCTATGGCAAGAATCAGGGTGCACGTGGTGTCTGCCTTCTGGTGCGCCACAAGATACACGGACAACGAAGGCTAACGTGCTTTCTTTTACCTTAAGCAGTGAGGGAGAAAGCGAACGTGTAAGGGCTTCTCGTTTTCTCTTTCGGAGGAAAAAAAAGTTAGCAATATACTTCAAGTATACCTAAGGACATATAGCCGGCACGTCTTCGAATATGAAGTATTGTGAGTGCCACTGGCTTACCGAGTTGAGAGCGACCGGTCGGACTCTCTCCGCCTCGGCGGCCTTGAGGCGACCGATCGAGTTGAGAATTTTCTTGCGGTGCAGCCGGTGCTCCACTCCCAGGCTGCTCTTAAGGTCGTCATCGTTCAGGTCGTACAAGAACGCTCCGTCCACGGCCGCCGCGATGAAAGCCTCCTGGTACTGCGTCAAGGTCAACGTCTGCCGTGGGAGACGGGGGTACGGGGGGGGGGTATGGTCGAGTGCAGGGGTAAGGGCGGCGAGCGGTAACCATGGGCGGAGGGCACGGGAGCGGCTGTTGGCAACGGAGCCATTAACTTCGTCAAGGTTGACCTTCGCTTGTAGTGGGTCGGGGGGGCATTAGCGGGTGTGCGCTTGAAGTTTTGCCGAGCTTCGGGTGTTCAAACGCTTGCAACGCGTACACTAGTCGGAGCGGTTGATGTGTGCGGGCTCGGGGGCGGTGCATGGAGGGAAAGAAGGGGGGCAGCCCTTTCCTATCTGACCACCGACCGTGATCTTTCGGGGTACCCCGGGCCTACACGTGGCAAAGGTAAAAACGAACGCATCTTGCAAGTCTCTGCCACGGTAGAAGCTCGACAGCGTTGCATGTCTGGTGGTGATGCAGCTTTGAGTGGTTAATGGCATGCTAGCGAACCGCCGGTCGACCTTGAGACAGAGCACAACAGGACGTCGATTGCCAAAGCGTCGACCACATTGGTGAAAAAGTCTTCTTTCCGGCCCCCTTGAGGGCCTTGAAGCACGACGACAATCATACCTCGGCAAGGAATCGAAATCACAAAAAAAAACTCGAAACAAGCACCTCGCAGTCTCCTGCATCAAACCCGCAATGTGATATGTCTCGCCTGCAACCAACGAGCAACGTCGTCAACGCTCCACGCGGACACGGCAAGCGGCTCCTGCCCCGGGAGCTGCCCAGGCTTGAGTGCGGGTCGGAACGACTCCGCCCCTAACTTTTCGTTCTGCTCCAGCGCAAGAGCCCGCCCATCATCCCGCCCACCCCCGCCGTCGCCGCCACCGCTTCCCGCCCCGCCGCCACCGGCACCGTTGGCGTTGTGCGCAAGTGCGGCCATGACGGTGTCGGTGGCTCCGACGCTGCGCATGGCGCGTATCATATTGAGGCTGCTGAAGTAGGTCATCGACATGGACATGAACCCGAACTTCATGAGCGTTTCCGTGGACTGCATGAGCTGGGCCGCCTGCCGCTTGTCCTTCGCGGACGGTCCCGCCCCGTCTCCGCCGCCGCTGAGCATGTCCCCAGGCCCGCCGCCGCTGCCGTCTCCGGACGCCGTGAGCAAGAGCACGCCTTTCTTTTCCTGGCGACGGCGGATGTTGTCCAGCTCCCGCTGCTGCTCTTCCAAGAGGACGACCAGCTTGCGTTCCAAGGTCCGCAGTTCTTCCTGCGATCGCGCGCGTGGCAGCAAGTTATTTATAGCGCGAGGTGACGTGTCCAAGACCGAAGGGCGGAGCAATAGGGTGATTGCCGTCGGAAACAAAAAATGATTCCGACCGGTAAGTTGTTGTGGGTCTATTTCGCTTCCCTCCGTTAAACAGCTGGTGTTGTTTCTGTAGCGTGGTGCGCTACAAGCCCGCTCTGAGGTAGATAACAACAACCCTCGTCCGCATTCCATTGAAACCCAGCCACCTCCCCGGAACGCGGCGTTCTCTTTCCGTGACGGCGTTTGCAGACGTTCTTTTGAGTGGAGAGGGGCGTAGAGTCAACGTTTGCTGTTTCAACAGACTCTCCGGACAGCGAAAACAACAACACACCTTGCTAGGATTCATGTTTTCGGATTTTGTCCCGATAGAGCCCACCATGGGTATGAATAACGGAAACGAACACCTTCAACAGTCCAGTGGATGTAACTCTCTTCAGTATTGGCTGAGTGTCGTGGAGTGCCAATGCTTGCAACGGAAGAACACCCTACGGCAAAACACCGCGTCCTTTCAACACACCGCGTCCTTCCAACTCAAACGTCAACCGCAACAAACAAGCACGATCCGAATACATACGCAGTATTTTAGAACACACCTCCTTGCCGAGGCGAGTCCTGTCGAGGGTGGCAAGCTTTTTCTCCATGTGGAGCAACCTATCTTTACGGTCTGCGATCTTGCCGAGCATTTCTCCAAACTCTTTGTCCAATCGAGCCTTTTGCTCTCGAAGCTCGAGCCTTGACAGGGCGTGCGTGCGTGCGAACGCAGGAGCGAGGGCGGTCGGGCGGATGCGAGTACAACCGAGGTGGTGAGGATGAGCGCTTGCGAGTATTCGGTGTGAAGCTCGGTATTCAAAAGTTATTACCAATGGGTGCCTGCTGTAGCAAGTATTACTCCATACACCTACGGTCCGCACCTGGATGTTGGATGCTTACCGCGATAGATCCGACAGAACCATGAACCGGTAAAGGATCCACCAAGAAAACCCAAACGTCGAAGCTATCCAGAACTCGAACGAGACGTGCCACATCTTCTCGATGTCCCGGGTGGAAAAAGCAACAGACCGCCACTCCAAATAGCCATCTGGCGACACAAAAAAGCACAGCAGACGCCTCCCCGCTCAACCTGGCACCCTTTCCATTCAGCCCACCTCTCTCCACACGCCGTACACCTTAACTCTTACCGTGCCTCCTCGTCGAGGACCCCCACCGCCTCGGTCTCGATCTTGGACAGCTGGTGCATCTCCCTTTCGAGTACCGTCACCGCCTCCTCGAACTCGCTGATCTCCTCCATCATCGCTTCCACGGCCTCCTCCGCCCCGACCTTCTCCCCCGTCAGCAGCTGGACGTCGCTCTGCAGCCGGGTCGCGTGGAGCTTGTGCTCGAGCAGCATCTGCCGGCCGAAGTCTATCCCCTGGCTCTGGCTCTTGGAGAAGAGGTACTTGTCGCGCTCCCGCCCCGCCCTGCGGCGACCCGTGTGCCCGCGGAAGACGCGCTGGATGGTCATGGCGTTGTACTTCTCCTCTCGGCAGCGGAACGCGTACCGCCGACCGGACACGCCCCTCCAGAGGGACTACAAAGGCGGGGTGGGTCAGCAATGAGTCATCGTGGGTTTGCGGGGTCATTGTCACCGCGGTGACGCGCCGTTTTGTGGGTTGGTGATGTGCTTGTTGAGAAAACATCGGGAGCTCTCCGCGTGAAGTTTTGCCGCGTTGGATAGGTGGCGTTGGGGCGCCGAGCTACATGGTGGAAGAACAAAGGTGCCGTTGTCTTTGCTGTGCCTCCCGGGACCGTGTGTGAGCATGCATAATCAAAACCTCAAGAATCTTCCGCCGCCCCCGTAATTCAGTCCTATAGCGTTATCACGACATCATCCCGACGCCCGGCTTGCAAGAAAACGTGTCAGAGATTGACTGCCTTCATCAACGTTCAGGCATCGGGGAGAGAGAACCACCTATCGACTCGGGACAGGGTCACCGTCTGACCTGAATCACGGCGGCCGCGTGGTCCCGCCTTCTCCTGGTCGCCTTGACGAGCCGCCGGATGAGAGCCCCCCTCCACACGCGTTGCATGTGCCCGCACGCGGCTTGCTGCCGGCGGAGGAGCCGGAACCACCGCCGCGAGGCGTATCCCCTCCAGTTCCTCTGCACCACCTGGGCCGCCCACACCGACCTCAACCTGTGTTTGTGTCGGACACAAGCGCGCCAAAGCGCCACGCAGTATTTACAAGAAAATAAACAAGTATGGTTTGGTTTGGTTCGTCCAGCGTGCTCGGTGTTGGGGCTGTTTCATTTCGGCAACGCTCTCCACGAAGCACCACTAGGCCGTTCATCCGCACGCACATACGCTGTTGCGTGTTTCGTCGAGCTGGTGGTGTCCACAACAGAGATCTTCGTTTCAAGGAGCACGCAGTAGGGTTGGAGCCATCGCGCCTGGAGGGCTGATGGGGCTAGCAACGTTTTCGTCCTTTTGCCAAACACTGGTTTAGACTGCCACGCGGCGGTGCACCGTGTGGAGGGAAACCAAGAGAACGCAGATTGGATGTGATTGGCTCGAACTGCAGCACCCGGTTGATACACATGGATACGGCAACCCGCGCCGGGAATGAGTCTTCTCGCTTTTGCCATGCCCGTGCTTGCGAATCAGACGCGAGATCCCTTGAGACACTTCTTGTAGACATGTGGAAAGACGGTGGAAACGAACCCGCCAAGAAACGCCACCCAAGACAGCATCCAAGTTAACGCTTTCGCCTGCTGTAATATAATACAGCTGCCCCGACGCCGCTCACCACAATATCCTAAAAACGAAAAACCACACTGATTGCCGAGAGAGCTGTCCATGTCCGGCTACCCTCGGCCCACTTACTTCTCCAGAAACATCAGCCTCCCGCGCCAACCCCTGAAAATGGTCTGGATGTAGACACACGCCCGGTTCTCTCTCATGAGCTGGGCCCTCTTCAGAGCCAGGTAGGCGCGCAGGGCACCTTGGATCTTGCGCGCGGCCCGGTCCAGGCGAACCAGGCGCTTTCGATTGCGCTTCAGTCGCCAGGACATGTACTCCTTGACCTGAAAAATAGTTGTGTATGTCGCTCTTCTAGTTAGAGGTGGAACCAGGTACTGTAGAAAGAGCGTGCGATTGAAAGAGTTAAACGTCAAACAACTGTGGGTCAAGATTGGTTTTAGAAATACTGCTTTCCGGAGTCTTTTGCCTTGCCAGAACGGGATCGATGTTCTTGTCCGTGTGTTTTCGAGAACGAGAGATGGGGGCCTGCTGCATCGCGAGTCCAACTCGCTCGCTGGTGCGTCACAGCATGTTTGTTGTGTGCGGCGAGGTTATGCCATGCGAAAGTGCCACTTGATTGAGTGCTTGGATCAAAGGCTCGTTTCCTTCATCATTGTCCTTCCCGAACCAGTTTCCTTATCAAAACACTCTGGGTCCTCTTTCGGGAGGCTACGTACCAGGCGTTCGGTGTGGAAAAACAGCGCTCCGTGTAACCTACCCCCCTTCAACCGCCACCATTTTCAAGAAGCATAACTTGGAACCTTCACCCACCTCTGGGAATTCCTCGGGCTGCGGGTAGACCTTGCTCCCCTGCCCAAACCCGTACACCAGGTTATCCTGACGCTCGAACGCCGGATGGGCCGCGTCCAACACAGTCCCAACCATGATGTTTCGCCCCTGCACGCGCCCGTTGCCCTCGCCTCCCGGCTTCCCGCCACCACGCCGTCGTCTGCCCTTGCCCCGACGATCTCGCCGCCATCGCTCTTCTTCGTCTGAGGCGCTCCCGGCGCCACCGGTGTTCCCGAAGTGCCCCCCCCTGTTGGCGGCGTTCGTGCCGGCGACGGCCACGCTCGAGCGATACTTCTCCCACGACGATCCGTACACCTCGCCGAGGCTGCCGTCCCACGCCGATCCCATCTCGGTATTGTCGGCGGTTGTGTCCTCCTCTTCTCCCCCCCGGCCGTGCGCATCTAACGTGCTCGCGCTTCCGTCGCCGCCGGCACCGGCGCCGCGTCCGGCTCGCAAGAGGTTTCCCCGCTCCCGGTGGCGGGCCTCGGACTGCATGTCGGACATGGTGCCGAGGACGTTGTCGATGAAGCTATCTTCGAAGGTATCGCCCCCGCCAATCCCGTTGCCGCTGGCCCCGCCGCCGATGGCCGCTGCCGCGCTTCCTCGCGTGGCGGTGCTCCGGCGGCTCTTCGACGCTCTCGCTTCGTCCAGGCCACCACCATGTCCTCCTGCTCCGACACCTCCAGCTCGACCAGCAGAACCGGGCTTGTTGCCACCGGCAGTGGCATTGGTGGCCGCAAACTCTGGGTGGCTCATCGCGTAGACGACGTCGTTTCCCTCGTGGTATCCTGAGATGGCCTGTTCGAGGAGGGTTGTCGTTTGGATCCTGGCCTCCTGGAACAGCTCATGCCCCGCGTTCATCCACACCACGCAGGTCTTGCTCGGGTCTTGCAGGGCCTGTTGGCGTTGTCGTTGCGGTGCAGAACGGTGGAAAATGTTACTGTTCGCCGTAGACCGTACGAAAGAACAGCACGGTGTCTATGTAGAACAAGATGTCATGTCGCCTGCACTCTGTGTCGTATGGAGCCATTGCGTTGCTTACCGTGTGGTTGACGGGGGAGTGCCACCGTCTTGTGGTCTAGGTACACAATCTTCGGGGTGTACGAAGGTAGCATGGACTGTTGTTCGGTATGTGGCTTCATCCATCTACCCGGCCTGTGGCATACGCCACTACGCTGTACACCTAGAGCGTGAACTACGTCTCAACCTTTGTGCGGATACAGCTCCGACAGAGCGACAGGCGAAAATGTTGACGATCCTACCAACACAGCCCCACCTCGCGCGTCAGAACCAGGGTGGCGCTACTTCACACCTTGTGGATGCTCCGGACCTCACCGCCGCGCCTCGAGACGTAAGGGTCGGTGTGCAACGGTTTGACAAAGTTGTTTTGGGTGCTCTGGATGCAGACAACGGGGATGTCTATCTCGGAGAGCACCGGGCGCGTGTCGACGTGCGCGAGCGCCCCCTTGCAGAGCTGCAGCCGCCCTTTGACCGAGATCGGGTTGTGTACGGCCGTGTATATATTGAGCGCCAGCGGTGTCGATACCTGGGATGCAAAATCGGCATAAAGTCCGTCCGTTCGAAAACGAGCGGACGGCAAGTGAAACCATTTAGAGAACGTCGCAATGGGAGATAGAACGGAATTGAATAGGCAACATAATAACGCCTACCATTCGTGCAACAGGCTGGACTTGACACCGGCTCAGCCCGCCCCCCCTCTCCTGCAACTCGGACGCCCTCTTGTCCCGACCCCACCAGCATCAGGTTACAAAGGAGGGATATATAGGTACTTCCTCAGATCTCGTGCCGACATACGAACATCTTCCGCCCAATGTCTGCCTCGCCATCACGCATTGACAGCCCAGACTTGATCGCGCGCGCATGGTAAACAAAATATCCACCACTCCGCCCCCGTGTTGACCGCCCAGCATTTGTTCTTAGCGATGGATTCAAGTACGTCAAAGCACACATCTTGCCTGTCCCAGGTACGCCGGGCTGAAGAGAAACCTGGCGTGGAAGTACACGGGCAAGTCGGGCCTGGACTCGGGAGCGCAGTTGAAGACGTTCATGCAGTCGTGCAGCACTCCGGCCAGGTAGGCGTCGACGTAGGAGAAGGAGTTGATTAGGAGCAGCGATCGCGGAGAAGGGGTTGCGAAGTGACTCGCGTAGAAGGTAGCCACCGCTCCTCCCGACCCGAACCCCACGAGGTGGTAAGGCCTGTCCGAGTCGAAGTCCCCTGCAGTCAGGAGTCAGGAGAAATGTTCGAGTACGTCGTTCAGTTGGGTGGCGGCCGGTAGGCGGCCGGTATGGTAAGCGCGCAGCGGAGCGGGTGGAGGCGGGCCGACGAAGTATTCGCACGTGGGGCAGGGGAGGAAGTTGGGATCGAGAAGCCCTTCAGGACACACAAGTAAATTTCGCGACGGATACCCCTTCAGAAGGATTTGTTGAGGGAGAAACCATGCGTATCGCGGAAACGGGATATGAGATCACGCCGTCACCAATGACCGCCTGAAAGTACCCCCTCCTAAAGAGTGTACGCTGCTCTGCTCATTGTGCGGTACCGCATAAATGTCCGTCCGCAGCGCTATTTTTTCTATTTTCAGGAGCTCCTCTTTGTCGCTTCTCACCGGTGCCGCCCTTGCTCTTCTTGCCGAGGTGCAGCAAGAGGAACTGCAGGATGGTGGACAGGTACTCATTGTTGAGCAGTTGCTGCTCTCTCCACTCACTGAAAGCCTGACCAGGATAGTTCCAGAGTAGCACCTGTTACGACGAGCACGTAGGACGGAGGGGTCTAAGGCGGAGCAGTGGTGAGAAAGCAAGTCGGGGCGCAAGGGGGGGATCTACCGGTCATAGCGTCCCATCCTGAGGGCACGTGCGCGACACGGAACACGCGTGGCCGTGCAGAAAATTTCCCTGCAAAGTACCGTATTCCATAAAAGGTATTTCCCCCGGCGATGTCTACTATTGGTTGTTAAATTGTGGTACCTTCGGGATTGCATTTTCTGTGTGGAGTGTGTGACAACGTGGTGACCCTGTTTATTGATCTGTTTGCAGCACGTTTTGGGCTCATGTTGAGCTACAAGCACATGCTCACTGGTTATGTTATTCTTTGTGTAATTGTATCTGTTGTGGCAGTGAAAGTCTTGTGTGTGAGTGTACGGTAGCTCAGCACTCGTGGCATGGTATCCACCAAACACACGTCCGCTTCTCCTCACCTGCGCCCCTGGGTACCGTGCGATCAACGGCGCAACGACGATTTTCATGCGCTCGTAGTTGTCGAAGAGGTCGTGGCACACCACGAGGTTGAAGAAGCGCCCGGAAGACCCCCCGGCCGAAGGCGGTGACCCGACAACACAGTACGGGACAGCAGTATCCGCATCAACCTTGCACAAGCACGATGGGGACAAAGATGGTCATGGTAGGGTAGTGATCACCGTCATGCATGCCGTGGGTATGAGTATCCCGGCCTTCGACCTAGATGGAGGACGCCGGGTTTCTGTTCAAATGACGGGAGATGAACACAGCCACTACGGTGGCCACGCGTGGGAAGAGGTCGCCAGGTTTGAAAGACCCCACCTCTCCTGAAGTGCAACGCAATATTTGGAGCTACTTTTGTGTTGAACACAGCGAGCATGACCGAAGAAAGCAACCTTAAGACATGCGCCATGCGGCAAGTGGAAAAAATACCTGCAAGCTCCCCTCCACGCTGCCCTCGTGCCTCGGGGCTAGCGCCATGCCCTCAGCGGCGCACGCCGCCGAACCTTTCAGCACTCCCATCCCCTTGCCCTGCATGACCTTCATGCCGCCACCGCGGCCGGGACCAGCCCCGTTCGTGAGCGCGCCACCGTTTATCGACGACGGCCGAGAGAGATGCCGTGGGATCGCAGCGCGGAGAGTGTTGAGCAAGGGTCCCGGCTCAGCGGGCTTGGAGATGCAGCCGTCCATGCCGGCGGCCATGTAGGAGCGGAGGTCATCCGGAGAGGCCTTTGAAGTGAGGCATATTATCGGCAGGTGTCTGAGCTCGGCGGCTGGGGGGACGGAGGACGGGGCTGCGAAGGCAGAGAAGAGCGGGGTGGGCATGACGGTGGGGATGGCGGGGTTGTATGGACGTCGAGGTTCGGCAGTGGGTTCCGTCGAGACCACTTTTCGAGGTATCAGAGGTTTGGATGGTGTTGACGTTGACGCTGTTACCTAGCCGTCGTCTCACGTACGATGCATCATAAATATCCCACAGATGGTTCGTGGAGGGATGACCTGGACGCGAGCACGAAGACGGGGCCTTCATTGTGAAGCAACACGGCGGGGCATACACAAAGCGCTTGTCCAACAGGCCATCGACATCTACACTACGTCACCAATTGCCCTCGCATCCCGTCCGAAACAGCCTCTCTTGCGCTAAGCAGAGAGAGAGAGAGAGCTCTCCTGCACCGTACAGTGGCAAAAAATATCACATCTTTAGTGCTGGAGCAAGTTTTACCTCCATCATCCTGTTGCCGGCCTTGGCCGTGCGTCGTTGTTCCACCGCCGCCTGCTTTCGCGTGCCCTTCCACGGCAGCCGCCCGCACCATGGAAGAGCGGTTTCTTCGCGCCTTCTCAAAGTCTCTCAGGGCTGAGGCTATCTGGAAGCCGTCCATGACGGGCGTGTCTCGCTCGACCACGAGCGCGTCCCACTCCCCGTCGCCGTCGATCAAAGCTTCGAGCACCTGATCACGTCGTTGTTGGCGAGGGTATGGCGGGGGGTGGCAGCATGCTATGCGCTTGTAAGCAAGTTCTTTCAACGGACAAGTGAGTGTGAAAAACATAGGACCCCCTCGCCCACTGTGATTTTTCATTCGGGGGCAGGGTTTGTGGCCCAGCATTGCGAAAAGCGATGTGCGCCTGCCGCACGAGATGACCCCAAGTGCGCAGCGGTCTACAAACACGCTGAGACGCGATGGCTACTCGCGATTCAACGGAAGGCTGGACCAGAAGCCGTCTGTTTCCATTTGTTAAGGGCTCCACGAACCTTCGGTTGTCCCTCCTTTGCTGTAAATACTATATTTCCTTCGCGAAACACCTATATTCCCTTCGCGAAACACCTAGCTCTCTTACCTGCTTGCCGTCCCCTTCCACCGTAACCATGTATCCCGCTTGCTCAAGCGTCTCCTTGATCGTCTTGGCAGATCTGGGCTCTGCCTCGGCAACCAGAACCCGTGCGTGGAAAAGGCCCGATCCCTCCTCCTCCCCGTCATCGTCCTGCTGGGGTGAGGGTTTACAGATCATGCTGTCAACAGAACTAGGCGGCGGTATTTGACGACATCCGTGGCAGCAGGGACGACGCAAACCGGCGCCACCTAGGCAGGCACGAGTGTATTGTTGCAATCGACCTTGGACACTGAAATAGATATAGTAGTTGGTCATCGCGAATTTTCTCAACACGCGTCAAGTGAAGGGTGGGATTAGTGGGTACGGGGTGGGTGGTGCTGCAACGTCACTCCACGGATGATCGCACGCGCGTTGCTGGTTTGAGGAAGGGGGGCAACATTCGCCAAGTCAAGCTAACCAAGCGAGGTTATTGCTGTAGCCGCCTTTGTGGGTCGGTGTGCGAGAGCCTCTGGTGTTGCGAACCTTGCTCGTGAAGAAACGATTACGCCCCCATGCAAGAGCACCCACCGCCTGGTGTTTCTCAAGATAACACAGCAGTACTTGAATCTCTCTTGCTGCATCACTACCAAGGTTGCCGTTGCTCGACTGTCGCTTCCTCACCTCGTGCCCTTCGGCAAACGACAACGAGCTCCCGTCGGTGGTCGTCCCTGCACAGCTTTCCCCGCCGCCGCTACCCCGACTTAACCCTAGCCCCCTCTTCCTTTTCTCACGCTTGGCCGCCGAAGCCGAAGCACACCCTCGGAGGTAGTTGTCCAGGTCCTCAAACTTTTTCCCAGACGAGAGAGCCGGGCGATTGGCGAGCCCCTTGCCCTTGTTCTGACCTGCTCCGTTCCCTTCTTCCAGCCTCCCTCTCCATGTGTGAGCCTCCCACCCGCCCCCGCTGAACCCCCCACTCCCGTCCGCCCTGTGTCGACGCTGTTTCTTGGCTTGGCCGTCGTCGTCTCCATGGCTGCGAGGACGAGTAGGCAGGGCACCCGCAGCGGTTGATCGGGTAGAATCGCTGCCGCCGCCGCCGCCGCGTCGACGGCGGCGGCGCTCTTGCAGCTCGTCCGAGCTCACGCTCACCGGGTCTGTACCTTCTTCTTGTGCGCTGTAGAGGTCGTGCTGCTTCGCTCTTGGTCGCCGTCTTCGCGGTACGGAAGACCTGAGCGGCGGGACGCGTTAAGCGGGTGCAGAGAAACGAGGGCAGGGAGATCGTGCGGAGCACTTTTCAACCCTGCCTGCGGAAGGCGTACAATGGGCTTCTTGCGGCACGATCAGCCTCTATGGTACATATACAGCAAATCCAATGATGTTACCACTACCCAACACCTCACCAAAGCATCCCCGGCTCACCTTGAAGAGTCAAGGAAGTCTGAGCGCTCGCACACGGCAAGCTCTTCCGCAGTGAGGGCCTCCTGACGGGCGATAGCCGCCCGCGCCTTGTCCAGCAGAGCGTACACCTGTGGTGCGGTGATATTGCGCGGTTTTCGGTGGACGGATCGATGACATAAGCGCGGACTGCTGGAGGTGATGAGGACCACGCTTCCTCGCGCCCGTTGTCAATGAAAGGAATAGCAATTGAACCTGTCCCATCCGTCCGGACCGGCACTTGCTCCGTTGCGTCGCTGAGAATTTCTTTGGGAAGCCAATAAAGGCGAAGGTAAGGTTTGGGACAGCTTCAGGGCCTAGATTGTATGTGTGCTGTCAGTTTACCCGTCAAGGCCATAATCGTATTCCATAATCGTATGCCCACGAGCCGTCATTGTGCGAAATATCACATCGTCCCTAGATCGACTGTCATAAGCTCGATTGGTTTTAGAACCAACACCGCACCACTGCCGATAAGGGTGATTTCGGAAGATCTCGTCGAGAGCTTTCCTTAGACCTATGGACCGTTTTTTCGCACCCTCCTGGTTGTGGAGCAATCGAGCTATAATATGAAGGTCGGTCCGCGGGGATGCGATCAACTACGGAGCTCACTCACCCTGAAACAAGACCCACACACGCGAACAGGTTTGTAAAAGTTCTGGGCGCCTCCTGCTAGGAACTCGTCCTCTCTCTTGCGAGCGTGCTGCCTCATCGTACTAGATTCCGTCTCCTGCAGCGAGCGTCTCCGAGTATCCTTCTGCCCTTCCCCGCTGCCGCTGGAACCATCTGCACCCTCCCCCACCCCACCCTTTCCCACCGTACCAAACTTGTTTTGCGTCTCGCCCGAGTCAAGGAGAGACAGCCCTTCTTTGTCCTCCTTGGCGCTACCCGCTCGATTTTCCCTTCCCCTTCTCGCTAGACTTATGCTTTTCCACGAAACCTCGGACCAAGCCGTAGGGTCCCTGTCCTTCAGCCCCCCTGCGACGGGGTCGCCTTTGGGTCCTCCACCAGCTCCGCAATGTCTTCCTGGCGCGGAAGCTCCCCCTCCTGCGTGCTGTCCCCCTTCCCCGCCCCCCGCCCCCGCTGTCGTGGATGACGGAGTTTTCACCTCCATCACGAGACCCTCCTCTATCTGACGGCGGAAACTCGCATCCCTGCGAAGAGCGGACAGTTCTTGCCCGCTGAACAGCCGTGTGGCCACCTCCAGTTAAGCCAGCGGTCGGGGTCGATTGGATCGAGATCGGCGACGACCAGCGGGCAGTTGTCAGCTTGTAGAAGAACCTACGCTATTTCAAAGTACTGTTTTGCCCACACGAAGAACAACTGCCTCGCCCTGACGTTGCCTTTGTATTCATCCTTCCTACAGCTGTTTCTATACATTTCGCGCACAAATGCTGACCGCGGTTCTGAAGGAGTCAACGAATAGTGTAGGTCGTGGGTGCTAAGGATGGCAATATTTTCACTTTCCTCCGATGGCCCAGAGCGATGCAACACGTAAAACTGCAAAGATCTTACTTAGGATCCGCAACCCACCCCCTCAAACACAATATCGTTTTCATCAGCAGGTCTTTGAAGCGATTCAGACAATTCTACGGGCAGTAAGTCGCATCCTCTAGACAACCGAAGAAGTCAGACTGCGGGGGCCTTTAGTTCGCGTTCGCCCAAACACCCTACGCAGTAGCTAGACCTAGTCTTCACTCAATAGTACATGCGATGCACACCTCCGTGAAAAAATCTTTGTCGGAAATAGCCGGATCGAGCAGCGACCCTTGTGGATCTCGTTTCTTGCGCGGGTCATCCGCGTCCTCTCGCGGGTCCTGCGACGAGTACAGCACACATCTTCGCAAAGTGAGAGACAGCAGTGTCGAACTGCCATGGTACTTGGCGGATAACCCTCAAACACCCTGGCCAGATGGAGTCGCGTGTCATGCTTTATAGCAGTGATGCTGCGATTGCCGTTGAATTTGCTATGTTGCTGACGTCTGCAGATGTACGTTTGCATGCCAGGGTAAATACAGGATACACATAACCGCGAAGAAGCTTCAAACACACGACCGCACCCGCGTTCCCACAAGGGCGTTGCCAAGCCGGTGAGAGTCGGCAACAAGGCGACCCGAACAACAGCAGAAAATGCCTCAATGGCTTTTTCTCTGGCACCAAAACTGTTCACGGCGAAGTCAACCTGTTGCGAGTACCATAGGACCGTTGCTTTCAGTATGTACACTCCACATGCCCATTCTCCACCCCCAGCACCACCACCCTCACCGCCACCGTCAATTCCGGAATCGACAGGCAATGCTATATCAACACGCTTTCCCGGGTGCCAAACAAACACACGCTGCTGTCACCTCTCACCAGTACTCGGATCGTGCAGTAGTCCCCAGCGCATGCGAACGAGCTGGGAAACCGTTTCTCCCCCAGTGATCTGCCACCACTACCCTTGGCCTCCCACGCCTCGCCAGTTTTCACCCCAACTGTCATCGTCGACAGAGTGGTTGCTCTCATGGTGGCGTCTACGTTCTGTTCGCGCATGCCCGCCAACGAGGGAGAGGAAGACGACCCGGCCACTACCGACGACGAAGTTCCTGCTCCCGGAAGCGAAACCATGGCCCCATGTTTTGCCGCTTTCGCGCGGGAGAGCACGTTCGCTATACCCCCCGAGCCTCCGGCGCCGAATTTTTCGCACGGTAGCTCGATCACTTCCGCCGCACGGTCTACGGCTTCCCCCAAGTCTGCTTCTTCCCCTGTAGACGCCGCCCCTGCTGGTGGGCAATCAACCCGACGGCGGGCCTTTCTCGTTGGACCCGGAGGGCCCCCGAATTCTCTCTGCATGTCGAGCGCGTTCTGTGGGCCTAGAAACTCGCCGCGCCCGCGCGGCCCCTCCATCGCAACGTTGGCGAGTCGCAGGTCTCGTGCGGCGTCTGCTACCGCAGTTGTCGTCTCTCCCATCCAAGTCAGCCAGATTTGACTCGCGGCATCCACGACGTAGTCGCACATGAGGCCGAGGATGCGGGTGGGTTTATCCTGCTCGGCTTCGATGTAGCGCACGATGCCCAAGGTGACGGCGTCTAGCGCCTTGTTTATGCTAGAAGCCAAGCACTTCTCGAGTTTGATCTCCCGTTCGCTCCACGTGCACGACGGGGTCGCTGCCGTTTGGTCGGCGGCGAGCGTGGTGAACGAGCTCGTTCCTGTCACGGCGAGACCCTTGTCGTTTACGACCCGATAAGAGTTACGGTAGACGGTCCCACTTGCTCCCTTCCCCTGCATGTAGCACTGGATGGACACAATCCCTGGCTCCGTTGCCGGAAACTTGCTCATCATCTCCTTGAAGGCTTCCCTCCCGAGGTTCCGGACCGTGCCGTCCATGAACCGCACTGTTGCTATGCGTTGATGAGGGTTGTTGGGGTTAGTGGCGAACAGGCGTGTGAACCTCTCCTTGATGCTGGACTTTCGCAACGACCTCTTATTGAGGACATCTCCCGTTTTCGATGTGAAGAGCCAGACATGCGGTGCACCATCTCTGAACAAGATGGTGTCCGGAATCCCGAGCCGGAGGTTCGCGTTGCCGACGAGGTTTTCCATGGCCCATGACGGCGAGTGCGTGATATTTTCACGTGTCGAGGTCGACATAGCCGCGGTTCCACTCACTTGCTGTTACTACTGCAACTGTAAGCGTGCGGTGGTGGCACTTTGCCGTTTAGATCCTGGCCGAACCTATCTCCTCTCTTGTCCGAGGACGCATACAGAGGAGTTGTGCCAACACGCTTTCTTGGTGCAGGTTGACAGAGGTATTCTGCCGTCTCTACTCAAAGTCATGGCGTGCTGGGACCGGCGATATTAGGTATTATCCACCCGAGCCACGGATGTGGTAGACGACATCTGCGGTGGCGCAAGGGCAGAGCTGCAGGAAACGAGCGTCGCGTGTCTGCGCACAACGGTAAGGGCGGGATCTCGCCGCGTGTTTGTCGAAACGGAACATCGGCCTATTCGCTTGCTGCAAGTAATTATTCCTTAATTGCTGCATATTTTCGTACTTCCCGTGGAACGTTCCATGGAACTCCATGGACTTCCATGAACCATTCCACCAACAATAATGTAGTACTTACGCAGCAGTAGAGTGATGTTGATGTTGTACAATCACTGCTGCATGATGGTGTTGACACACGTGAATGATAACCACAGACTAGCGGCCAGATGGGTGAGAGACGGGAGCACCAGGGGCAAGAATAATAATATAATAATAGGCTAGACGGGGTAGAGACGAGCGTGCCGAAGATGGCCGAGTGTACGAAAAAGCGTTGCCATCCATGCTCTATCTACTATGTAGACGGACTGAGTGTGTAGAGATGTTAAATAAAAGACTGCTCGTGGAATGCACACATGCCCAAGGTAGCGGAAATTGGCAAAGCACGAGCAGGGGAGCTGCACCCAATACTCTCGCAAACCCGCACCTCGATACACGCATGCATCAAATTGACAGATTTGAAGAGCGTAAATCGTGCCGCCGCTACAGAGAACGCCGGAGAAGTTGGGAAGTAAATAAGAAGGTAGCAAGAGCTCGAGGCGGCGCAGATGAAAGCAGCGAAAATCGTCATATTGTTTAGGGTGCTCCAAGCGCACAAGCCGTCAGGCAGGGCAAAACTAGGGATGGATCCAATCCCTACGATCGGGAAGAGACGCAAGGAAGCGAAAATGGCAGTACCGTATATGTACGGTATGGGAGAGGAGAGGTTGCCGATAATAGCTTGGGAGGCGAAGTGGCAAGCAAGAAGAGGGAGGGGTAAACAACCCACGGAGTGTCAAGGTTGTAGATGGCGTATGGAAGGAGTTCGGAATTGACGAAGGTGATACGCTGGAAAACGGAAGGTCTTAAATTATGGAGAAAGATAATGGGTAGTCTTTCTGTGTGTGTTTTTATTATTCCTTAATATTCCGTGCTTCTGCCGAGAGAGAACAGAAGAATCTAACCAAAGAACCAAGGAAAGGAGGGCCTCGATGTGTACGGAATTCTCAAGCTGTAAGCTTTATGAAGCTGCAAGCTTCAGTCTCTCCAACGGAATTACTCTTTGTCGCAGACCCTGTTATTCCGATACCCCCATCCGTGCCCGACCGTGTCTCAAAAGCCGATCTCGACCTATTGCTCTGTGCCTCGGCGGGTTTCGGCCGCCCACAAAAACAAGGACAACAGCATGCGATCTATCTCCGGAAGAGCAAACTTCCGTGAAGCAGTCATCATCACGATCTCACATTCTCGTTAGCGTAGCTCGGTGGAATAGGCAGCGGTGGTGGTGTAACCGGGTTGTTGCATTGTTCGTATTAACATTAATATCGACCGCGCTACAGTACCCGGGACAAACAAATACAAAGAGGGTACATGCTCGAATCGGTAAAAAGCTAAAAGTCGCCTTGAGCACCGTACGAGGCAAATCGTTTACTGCCGACAATGCCTCATGGCTACATCTAAGCTACCCACATAACTTCGTAGTGCACCGTACGTTGTACAAGCACAAGGGGATTCAAAAACAAGCTGAAGTTCGCGTATCGCTCGTGCTTGAAATAACACCGACTCCGGGCTATCAAGCCCCGCCGAAGCTGAGATATCGTCACCGTAAAGGTTACAATTTTGTGTGTGTGCTCTATATATCTGCCTTCGCTCTGGAAGCTCAGAGTTCTGGTTGATAGCGAGATACCTGGGCCCCTTTGTGTGGCCAGTTAAAACAACGCCCACTACGCTCAAGTTCCGCCATTCTGCATACGTAATGCAACAGCCATGAGGTCATACCGATTCACTCGTCTCAACCACCGTGTGGTTCTTGCTTTCGGCTTGATTCGCCGGTCTTTTTTCGTTGTGCCGTTCGACCTGCGGAGGGACGGTCGGTCCTGAACGGCTGGGTGTTTCGGACGAAACAGACCCGTATACAGGGGATAACCCCATTTTCTCCTCTCGAGAACCTACTGAAAAAAGGAACCCCCCCCCCACCCACCCATCCCCCCCCTTCTCCTCGTATTTATAAACCTGGGTGTCCACCTTCCACACCTCTCTCTGTCTCTCTCTCGAACAACGTCGCCGTCCTCCCGACCGAACAAACTTCTGCACTGCACCGAGCGGGCACATTTAGCCGCCGGGACGACGCAACACGCTTCTCTCTCAAGCGACCTCGACCAGGTGGTAGATCACCAAGCCCCCGAACCAACCCGCCCCCTTCCACTCGAGCACCACGCTCGACTTCGCCTCCTCCAGCTCCACATCAGAAGCACCGACGGCGCCGCCCCCCCCCCTCGCGCCGTTACCGCCCGCCGCCTCGGGCCGAAGTTTAAACGTCATCGTCGTCGGCGTGTCCGCCGGGTAGGTGACAGTCTCGCCCGCCCCGACGCCCGTCGACGCCTCCGCGGGCGCCCAGTCCGCGGTCGCGGCGGTGGCCCCCACGACGCGGAACGTCACCTTGCTCGTCGCGGAAAACTTTACGCTCACGGTGGAGGCGGCCGAGCCGGGGGCCGGGCGCCGGAGCGGGAACTCGTGCGTTTGTCGCCAGCCGATCGCTTTCGGGAAGATCGGGGCTCCTATCTTTAGCGCTGCCAAGGCCTGTTTGTTTTTGGTCCAAATGCACATTTTGTAGATGTTGTTGTTGTCTTCACATTAAACTCGTGTCAGTTGCTAATCCCAAATCTAGCAAAGACTCGGTCCGTGGTCACAAAAATGCTGGAGCCATCAGAAGATCTAAAGAACACGCACACTATTAACAAGAAAAGAGTACACAACAGATGTTGGAAGATGGAATAAGAACAACCGACGGGATTGGGGGCGGGGCAGAGGGTTGACCCAGGGCCTTCAGCTCCTGTTGGTGCGGGGTTTTAAGGTGTTTTCTAGGCGGTGTACCGGGCCTGCGCTATTGAATGGACGCGCGTGGATTGACCAAACGGTGAGGCGGTCCAACGTTTGCTCGACCCGCAGGCACCCTTTGATCCCCCGCCAACCAAACGTAATACACAAAATGACGGCAAAACCGCACACGTGTGGCGAAAAAAAAGTAGGTCAAGAATGCACGGGAAATCGTACCGTAGTACTTGCTTGTTTTTGCCTTGTGTGCAAATACTTCGGCGGCGAAGACTTACACGTAGATAAGGAACGCGTGCAAGATCTTACCCTGTACCTGTACTGATTGTTGCATTTAAAAAAAAAATAAAATAAAAAATTGATACCCCTTTTCTCTCACCTTCGCGGTCTCGTGAAGCTTGTTTTTCACCCTCGAAACGTTCATCGCCTGGTTGGTGCAGATGATGTTGACGATCTTACTCGGGATCCAGCCATTCGGGTTCACGTTCACCACATAGGTCGCTCGCATCGGTCCACCGTCCTTTGGCTCCCGGAACACTAAGCCTGCAGCAAGACCAGAACAAGCCCAAGACGGACATACCACAACCAGGCAAGCAAGGAAGCGTCAGATGGAGGCGGTGCTGGGAGGGGGGGGGGGGGGGTGCTGGGAGGGGGGAGGGGGAAAGCCCAGCGGTAAGACGAGCTGTGCTTAACAAAAACGAGTGCTCACACTGTCGTACTTGTTCGTACATAGCGTGACATAGCGTTCCATCGTTTCCGTGCCCATAAGGGTTCTGCTTTCGTGATTACTCATCAACATAAACGCACCGAGATACCACGTGGAGAATCGAGATCGTGTCATGGAGCACAGCACGAACTCAGCGACGGCGCTTTCAGCACATGCTCAACATCAGCTACAGCTAACTTACCTAGACGACAAATGTCGCCCTCGCCTTCTCTCGATTGAAAAACCACCACACGACAAAGAGCAAGGGAGAGAAAAACCAACGAACAGAAAAAAAAAAACAGGCATTTTGTTCGAATGGTCGCGTGCGCGGGAACGCGGCGGCCCATCTCGACACCGCAACATAAATAGACGCCCACAAACCTGAAGTCTTGACGGTAGAGCGGATGCGTTTGCAGAGCTTCTCCATGTCGGGCACCTCCGGCCTCTCGATGCTCCCGGACACGACGCAGAAGAGCCGCTCCCCCGTTGCTGGGTCCGTGGAGGCCGCGGCGTGCTGCAGGAAGCAGAAGTCTCTGGCCCAGGCGACCCCGGCCGCCTTGAAGGAGCCCCACGAGATCCTGATGAGCTCGCCTTCCTCGCAGGGGATCTGTCGTAGGCGTTTTGTTGTGTTTGTCAGTGCTGCTATCATACGGCTTCATGCTATTCAAATATCTTCGATCATGCTCCATAGACCGGTTTTCGTGGTTTTATAAGTAGGCACTCGGGTTTCGAGCTCTCACGGGCAAGCTTCCCGGATACGAGAGGCTAAAAACACCAACGACAGCATTATCATCAACAACAACGACGGTGTCAACAAGGACACCTGCAGCAACGGCTACGTTCAGTAGCACCAGCACCAGCAAACGAGATTGCTGTACGATTTCCACATCGTGAGACAAAACGCCTCCGACAAGCGCAAGAACACGGCAAAAAAACGCAACGGTCAATACACGCGCCGTCCGCTACAAAGACAAAACACTCCGTTACAAAGACAAAGACTAAATAACAACCGAAGACGACACCCGGCTTCCTGCGCCCCATACAGGTCTTCGCTCAGATTAAAAAAACAAAAACGTCACACCTGGTACAGGATCTTGGTCTCCCTGCTCATGGGATCAGACGCCCTCATCTGCTGCGCCAAGATCTCTGACGTGTTGAACACGTCGACGAACTGCGTCTTCACCATCTCGAAGGTCACGTCCTGGGTGAGCGGTATCTGCCCCCGGCAGATGACCAGCGACGAGTCCGAGTCATCCGGGTTGGGTCGCGACCAGACCTTCACCCCGAACAGGGTGGATGAGAGCTTCCAGCCTTCGTCCGAAGCCTCAAACCCCACAAGGTCTGGCCAAAACAATGCGTGAACAAAACAATAATGAGGTGAGCGGAGGAGGAGGAGGAGCAACGGTAAACGCGCACGCGTGCGGAGTACGAACACGTTCACTATCCCGGCGGGGGGGGGGATTCTCTGCTTGAGGAGGTTGACCGGGCAGCGGGGTATGATGTGCCCTACTGTAGGTTCATCAGAAATGGTGTGGTGGCTTGGGGCGGCGAAGCCTTGATGATTGGTTTTATCGGTCACACACACACACACACACACCTGGGATCCACCCCCTTGCCAACGAGGCGTAGCGCGCGTCCTCTTCCGGCGTGAGGTGGATGTCGCGCAAAAACTTGAGCCCGGGGTCTTGCTTCCCGTTCTCGACCTCCTCCTGCGAGGGGGCGGCCTCCGCGCTCATGGCGTGAGACGACGCCACCACCGAAGGTGTCCTTGTGGTTGCGGTGACACCCGGTGTGCTCGTCGCAGCGGTAGCCATCACCGGAGCTGTCAGAAAAAAAAAAAGCAAAAACAGCGAGTGTTGCAGCAAAGTAGAAAAGGTGTTCTCTGCAGTATGCTCAAAGTCGGGGGATCTCAATACCGTGTGCAGCCTCCCCCTACGGTTTCCTCGGGGGTGGGTAAGGGGGAGCCGCAGATGCTGCTGAACCTACCCCCCCCCCCACGGGTTGTGGCGGGTGAAATTCCTTTGTTGGGCTTCCATGTCTCTCGCGCAAAAACAGAGGCGGCGAGTCTGCGGGGCCTCGGTTACTCGCTCTGAAAGAGGTTTTCAAAAATGTGAAGTGCATCCGACGCTTCTGATTGGTCAAAGGGTGCCTCAGTTGACGGGGGGGCGCCGCGTTCTGTGGTTTGGGAGTTGGGGGCAAGGGACAAGCTGGATCGGGTTTGGTCGGTGATAGGGAGAGAGAGCGGTGCTGGATTGAGCAGACTTTTCGGAAGTGCAAACAACGACCAACGGACTTCGCTGTTTGTCTCTAACGTTATATACCGTCGCGCGCAGCTTCCCTACCATGAAAAATCGGTGTTGGTAGGTACCAGCATGCGTCAATTAGTCCCATTGCGGTCCTATTTTTTTTTTACGGCACCTTAGTGGCACTCTCCGATCCTCGTCAAGCCTCCCATCCCCGGGTGGAAAAGCAACCAAATCAAACTCCGTCCTTTTTGCTATTCTTCAGCACCCCTTCGCCAACAACGTTCCGATCCGTGTGACGCTGAATAAGATTACAGCCGGCGGTAGCGCGCGAGAGCTCCGTGTGCGGTTGGGCTCATCTAGATGAGCCTGCGATAAAATCGGCTGTCCGGCATGACCTGGCAGAAAAAAATGCCTTGCGTTACTCACTACGCCTTGAGAAAAACACGGGAGGGAGGCCAGCTCACTTTCGATTCGCTGTGAAGGCGTTTTTCTTTTTTTTGGCCGGCAGTTCCGCCGCGTCTTCCAAGAACGCGTTTCCACTACCATGGCAAATACGATTACTATTCTGCACCGGTACGTACTGGTAGGTTGGTGGCATCCGTCGTTCCTTCTGTGTGCTGTGGTAAGAAATTGGAAGAACAGCAGCACTCCGTTTCGCTTGGGAACTTCTACTTCTACTGGATTTGAACCACGCTAATACGTACGCAGTGGACCCCCGAGAATGTTGTTTACCGCACGTAAAGCCACTGCAACAAAACGTAGTTTGTGGAAGCTAAACATTTGCAGGAGTTACGCGAGGCACCACATAAACCCATGCCGGATGTGGACGTACCGAAAGCCAGGAGAGGGAGAAAAAGGCGCAATCCCTAAAATTGTAACCCGACAATATACGCCCTGTGCCATCTTCCGATCCCTGTGCGGAAATGTAAGCAAAACCACCACCTTGTTCGGTGGTGCGAACTGTCCGATCTGCGCCAACTCTCCGATACGCGCCAACTCTCCGACGAGTTAGTTACGGTAACTTTGCTGAATAGCTGAAGCGCACCAATCCGCGGTCGCACAGAAATTTTTCTCCGCCGGTGCAAGGCGTTCTGACTGCTATTGAACATGTTCTACCAACGTCCAACAACCAAACCGACATCCCCCTTTGAAACGATGATACTCATCCGATGCCTGTCTCCCCGCCCTGCCCTCTCTCTCTCTCTCTCCTTCATCTCCCTCCTGTTCTCTTCTGCTCATCATATATGGAAGACCCAAGGACACGTTGTCTTGCCCGCTGGGTGACTAAAAGTCTACAAGCAGCCAGGGGGTTCCGTAGTGGTACATATTGACGTTTGTTATGAAATCATGGCAACTCTCCCCGTTGCGGCAGGCCCGATGCTGCCGATTAGGGGTCCTCTACGTCAAACATGCCCACACCCATGTCTCCATGCGTCCATCGTCCCACCGCCTTGCTCATGTCTCACCTCAGCGGCAATCGCATTCCAACATGGATTCTCGACTGATCTCACCGCAAGTGTCAGCAACAAGACCACGTTACGTACCTTAGCTCAACTGTGTTCGGTGTGCTGTATCGACAACAAGCAACAAAACATGCAGCAACAACAACAACGCAACGCGTCCACGGGTCGCTTCCCGCGCCCTTGGTTGGGTGCCTTTGATGCATGCCCAAGGTACAGCGGCTCCGCATCGCACTCCCTTCCCATCATCTTCATACACACGCACACAAACGTACCTGAGTTCAGCCTATTTCGGTTCGCTTGGCGAGGGTGCCCGCTTTCCGTGCTTATGGTCAGTCCAGTGGGGTATGGCAAGTGAAACATTCGCCGAGCGGGTTTGTTGCCGTGCCACAAGTGCCGTGACAACAGCAGACCCTAACAAACCCTGTTGCTGCGAGCTGCGGTGCTAGCCTTTGTGCGCTGCCTTGTGGCAAACACAAAGTTGGCACCGCACGTACGTTTGTCCGACGCTACAGAATTTGCGGAACCCCGCCAAAAAGAAGAAAAAACCAAACGTGCACCGTGCAGCAGGCAGGTGGCCATACTGTATAGCATGTCATGTGCAGTGATCAGTGATGACCACTCGGATAAACCTGCACGGGCTTGCAGTACACATATGGTGTGTGGTTTACACGCTTAGCAAACCCTGAAGACCCTGATGAAGACTCACTTGTAGATCGATCTCTCTTAGCTCTGAACGGACGTGCTTGCTATTTGTTCCCTCTCGCTTGGTAGACTGCTGTTGACTGAGCAACGGGGGGCGATGGCGCTTCCAGCTTCTTCACGAGGGGGGGGCTGATAAGATTTCGTCCCCTGATTGCAATATCTATCCCGGGGAGTTGCAGCTCAGCCAAACGCACAAAGCAGCTCTGTTGTCGTTGTCTCGCTCCGCACTGTGCACAGCAGCTACCAGTCCGACGCTCAAAGATGCAGTAATTTAATTTTACCCGCATGCAGCAGTACATACATATCAACCAACACTGCTTGAACTACACGACGGAGGAAGTAGACTACCAATGTACCGACAGATCCTTTGCACTCAAAAATACATCCAAAAAGAAAGATCTATGCATACATGTAGCGTCGGCTAGACGTCGAATTGGTGGAGCCAATCGTAAATAAACCGTAGCAAATGGCCAACATAAACCGACCCACGTGGATATCAGACCCCAGCCAAGCTTTCTCGTAGCCTTGACCTCGCAGAAAATGGCAGGTTTGAGCCCCAGGTCTTCATGGACCTGCCCGAGGGCGGGGGTGCGCCCGCCCCTTGGATACCACAAACCATTTGTCAACCACTAAATCACAAATTACCTACCACGCACACAAGCTGAACCAGCGTAGGTGTCAGCTTTACTATTTTCTCTGAACACACACAAAACACAAACAGAGCAGCACACCCACAAACTGATGTATGCATACATTCATTGGCCAGTAGCATAGTAGTGCTGTCAACGCTCAGCAAAAAGGCATGTGGTTCTGTTGGACTGTAAGTAACAAAGAATAGTCCCCAAAGCCTCCATACTATATCATCATCCCGCCATTCACGGTGGCCTTGCAACAGCTACTGAAACCATCAGAACCGCCACAGGACACACAAAGACTGCTTAAATCTCACACGAGCCGCAGCCAATCTGCAAAATGGTGCCGCGAAGCCGCGAAAACGTTCGGCCGAGCGAGATGAGACCGCACTACTACCGTGTGGTTACTGCTGTTGGCTGTTGCTCGCATGGTTGAAACCCGTTACGATCTCTGCTCAACATCCGTTCAAGGTTGGTACGCCACCAAGGGTTCAATGACCGGTACATCACCATGGTCCAATTGACTCGGGCGCCTTCCGTGGTGACAGGCCGACTAAACCCCAAAGACAGCAGTGCCACACGTTTTGCAAAACCGAAACCGAAGAGAAATTAAGGGCCGAAAAATAAAACACCACGAACAACGCGGTATTATGAAGATCCCCAAAACAGTCAGACTTTGGAAGGTGCCGAGTATTGTAGCTCCAGACGAATGATCCACCCTTGACCCCCCCCTCCCCCAGTACGAAGGCTGGCGCCGCTGCTACCCCTCCCGCCCTCGTCCGGCCCCGCTCTCCCCCGTTACCCGGAGAGAAAATTCCCTTCTCCGTCGGCAGCCTCGAGCAGCAACGCGGGGCCCTTCTTCGGCTGGAGGAAGCTATGCGACCTTGGCCCCCCTCCTCTTTCTAAACCCTTCGACGAAGACCTAGGCCTTCGGATCCGCGTGACGTCGTCAAGACTATCTCTACCGATCCCACTGCCGTTGCCATCGGCGCCGATGCCATCTCCGCGGCGGTGGTACCCGTCCCCTTCCACGTCATCATCACCCACAGCGCCAGCTGCCGCACTCCCAAGCCCTTCCGCCACTTCCAGCCCGCCCGATCTCTCTCGTCTATCTCTGCGCCTCGCCCCCTCCTCGTCCACCTCCTCCTCCTCCTCCTTCTGCCCCCGCTGTCTCATGCCCGTTCCCGAGCCGGTTACTGCCGTCCCCGGCGAGTCCCCCAGCCACGCCGTCGCCGCCGATGGCCTCCGCGCCTCCGGGCGGTGACTCCTCAAGACGGCAGAGGTAGCCGACGCCGCCGCACCCGCCGCTGCTCCTCCTCCTCCGCCGCCCCCGCTTTCCAACTCGTTCTCTTTCTCCAGGAAGTGAGAGAAGTTGTCGGCCGCCTGAAAAGTGCAGAACAACGGGCGATCGGTGAGAGAGCGGCGCGCCCGGGACGAACGGGTAGATTGTGGGCAATCCGGGACTCTGATGTGCCCGTTTTCGTCACCAGATGTGGGCAGTCCGGGACTCCGGTGTACCTTTATATTGTCATCATCGTAGACGAAAAACAAGCCCAAGGAACAGCCTCTACTGCTGCTGTGACCGCAACACCACAGAGTGCCAACAGAGCGCTTCCATCCCGACTCTAGATATATCACGTGGATTTCCCTTTTTGTGCCGAAAAAACACTACTACCACTTCAAGTATTTCATTGTTCCGTACAACCGGGAGGGAGAAAAAACTGGCTATCTTAGACGGAAATCGTTCGCCAAATTCTTCGTAGAACTGGACGGGTTCGTCATTGCGGGAAAGTCAAGTCGACGTATTTTTTCTCCGGTTTTCCGGCGTCGAGACTGGCCGTTCCATACTGCTGTAATGGCGTATCGGGTGCGTCAACAGATTACATCTTTATTTTTTCAGGCGTGCAGACAGGCTGTTCAATGATGGCGTTGCAACAGCAGCACACATCTTTCAATCTCCCTCACCTGCACTTCTCTTCCAATCTCACGACCGATGGCAATCACCGACAGGAGAAACAGCACTTGCCCCGTCTCGTTCACCACCCGGAAGCACCACTGCGTGCGCGCAAGCCGTCCCGAAAACAGGCAAAGCCAGAGCAAAAAATTATTCCCATCCTTTCTTCCCAATAACATATTTGCTTCCCTAAGAAGAACACGAAACGGGATGGCAGTCTTGCAGCCACCGGACCCCCCGGTCCCTCCGCTTTTCTAAACGTGGCACACCAGGACGCACAGTCCATCGCATGTCTGCGGCGTGCATGAATGCAAACTCCCACACAGCAAGTGCAACACGTTGCATCGTCAGTACCAGCCAGCGACCAAGCGCCCCCCCACTGTTAAGCCAAATTTGGCAAAGTAGGAAGGAGCGATTGGCCATCCGCGATGGGTCCTGTGGGAACAATGCTCCGTCCTCTCGAGGACGCGTGGTTAATGGTCTAACCGGTAAGGCATGCAAAACAAGAGTACCCCCCTCCCCCCCCCATATCATGTTCTCACCCTGCGGTGCCCCCACGGTACGTGTCGACTCACCTCCGGTGGAACCTGACCCCCCAACAACGCCAGCGTTCCGAGAAAGAGAAACATCCAGCCGTTGCACACCGTCGACTGGACCACGATCGACGCGTGGTTGCCGTACTTCCACATGTACACCGCGATGTAGAGGGCGAGCGCCGTCATGCCCGTCGTCGGCAGCAGCGCGAGAAGAAGGTGCAGGCTCGCGTCTTGGGTTTCCACAAGGCTGTGTGTCCGTCCGTCCGTCCGTCCGTCGAATCCGTGCGTGCGTTCCGTTTCGTTGGCAAAAGCGAACGGTATGAAATGGTCAAAACAAACGTGAAACGCAATTGAGGTGGGCGAAGCTGATCGAACAGGGGACAGGAGGAGAGCGGAGGAGAGTGGCGGAGGAAGAGGTGCTCTCGGGCTTGCACGTACCCTAAACAACAGCGGCTAGAGAGGCAGACAGCAGTCAAGAGCTTGCACAAAAGTCGAAACAAGAAAAACATCGTGCAACGCGATTGGGGTTCAACACGTTTTGCAAAGATCCCAACAGTGAAACTCGATATCTCAGCCGAGAACAGACGTCGACGACACGCGAAGGTACAACACGACAAGCAATCCCGCCGACTTGGGCAGATGAACGGTAAAATTACAAGTCTTCAAAGATGGACAAAAAAAAATAGGCAGGTCTTTCAGTTGAACAATCCCAAGAATGAGAAAAAACAAAATGGCTCCTTCAACTGTCGACTTGACTCCAAATTAAAATGCTGCCGCGCAGGGGTGGATAGAAACTCCTGATCTCCTGATACAATTCAACGTGCAAACTTCTCACCCTGTGCCCCCCGCCTTGTTGTCGTCCCCGATTCCGATGTCGTAGTTCACGAGGATATGCACCACGAAGAGCAAGACCGACACGATGCCCACGAAGTTGCGAAGAACCCAGGAACACGGCTCCACGCCCCGCCGGTGACCTTGCTGCAAAGAGATAAAAAAAAAACGCTTGTATGAAAATGATGGAGGCCGAGCAGGCGGCGGGCTAGTATATCCCGAAAAAGATAAAAGCGGGACCAAAAGCATAGCAGCAGACCGCACGGCTCTGTTCGTATGTACCGACGAGCCTCCTGCGTGTCCCTCGGAACGAAGCGTGAGAACGAGTAACTTCCGCCGCATGGAGAGCTATGTCAACGCAACAAACACATCGAAATTGAGATATGTACCATGGGTGATACTCTGTAGCAGCTCCTTCGAATGCCGTCCGGCAGAATGGTGTCTTGCGCTTGTGTACTGCTCACTGCCACCACTAGAAAATACGCGTCCTCGTGTCGGATATAAACTGCTGTGTGCACGCGAAATGCAATCGACGAAAACGATTGGCCATCGCCCCACGACTACACCTCGTCGTAAGGACAGCTCCGTGTGAACGTGGAAAATGGACTCACGTCGAACACGATGCCGCAGAACTGGACCGAGCGGCGCTTGTGTACAGCGTACGCCACCTCGAATGTCACCACCAAGAACAGCGGGATGACCGCAGCTGGAATAGCAAGAGAAAAACGCGAGAGAGAGAAATAAAGAGAGGATTGGTTCGGGGGCGGCGGCCCTGTGCGCTCTTGGAGACACCCCCAATCGCCGTATGACACTCCAGCGGTACACCTCATCAAGCAAGAATCGGAAGCTTGTTGACTGTACGCGAGTGGTGCATGCGCGATGAGCGCACGGGAAGGTGCGTAATGACTTATTTGGGAGGGGGGGGGGCGTCACCGCGACGGAAGCGGGGCCGGAAAGTTGTGTCACGAATCTCGCCGGTTCCTCTTAAACCGTGACACCTACCGCGACAAGTTAATATAGAGTGTCGGACAAAGAGGAGCATGTCACGCGGCTGGGAGTGTCTACACACGCCATGCAGGCCGTCCGTGCGGCTACCGAAAAAGACGCGCGTCCTCTAGCGGCAAACTAACCAGGGATCAAGATCGTGTAACTTAGTTCCGAATCACCCCGATATCCTCCTCATCCCTTCCGTTCTTGCTTCTCCCTTGTTTTCGTTCTCACCGCGCGTTGTTCTCCCGATCTGGACGAACTTTGAGTCGTCCGACAGCACATTGCTCAGAGCTAAGACGAGGTTCTCATAAGCCAGCAGCAGACAAACCACCGGCTGAAGAAGGAAGGGGAAATCCGGGCGAAGTCACGGAGGGAGGGGTGGGGGGGGATGGGGGGGTGAAGATTCTTGACGTTCATTTTCGACTATAATAAATATCCATGTGACGGTTGCGGAGCGGCGACAAGACAAGGAGGGGAAGAGAAGAGCCCAGGAAAGCATTTCGAACCATATCATGCCGGCAGAATGTTGGTGCATATCCCTAAGACCTCGGAGTGGACGCCGGACTAGGGCAGCAGCTACTGGGACCGTCTTTGCGGGGGAACTCATAATTAATCAATGAAATAGAGAGGGGGGTTTCGTATCCCAATCCCTAGCCCTAACCCCCCTGCTAAAACCAAGCTAAATATCCTCTACTGGCGGAGAGAGGCTGCGGGGACAGCTTAGGAAGGATCGGAGAGACTGTACATGGCAGCGTGGGCATAAAAATGTGCTGGAACGACGAAGGAGGAGCAGCGTGCCGAGTAGGAGGGTGGAGCATACAGCAGTGGGGGGGCCTTGAAAAGGCGCTAGCATGCACCCGTCAATTAACCGGGCGTAGGCACAACATATGCATAGAACTGGCCACAACATTAACATTGCCAATACCGGTACCACTGAAGAAGAATTGGACTGCTGTACTGCTGTACTGCTGTAAAGTGTAGCACCTTCACGCACCGGGCCTATCAGAGTGTTGGATGAACGGGCCACGTTGCGCGGTTGCCGGAAAACATGATTGACGTAGAATCGATTCCGTGTGTTGCTGCTGTACCTGCGGCACAGCGTAGGGCCGTCCACGTGACGTGCTTCATTCCCGACTACTTAATGTGTCCATGTCTGCGAGTGTCTTGTACGCAAGATACACGTGTAGTTATTCTTCCGTGGCCACTACCCAATTCCACTTGTAGAACAAAAGCAACACCTCCACCGACACTGCCGTGTTAGCCCGAATTGACATGACAAAGCAGGGGTGTCGAATCGCCATTGAGGCAACTGCTGTAGCGAAACCCCGATCAGCCCCGGCTGAAAACCGCAACAGCACCGCAGCATACTGCGGCCAGTACTGTACCGGAGAAACATGAAGGTTTTTCCCGCCATTCCTGTTTTGCGGGGCTTCGGTGTTTTCGGGTGCACATGTCCCGGTGCTAGCTTTTCGCGGTTGCCAGCTTGGGCGGCTTGCGTTGCGTCAAGAGTATTAAACACGGCAGATGCGGTTGTTATCTTTGTCTGCAGCATGTGACGTGGGGGCGCCCGCCACGTTCCCTCTGCATACGTGGCCGTCAGGGGCTACTGGCGGACGAGCTTGCAGCTGGCGTGGTACACGGCTCTACGAGACGGCATGGCACGGCTCTACCACGTTCCGCATGGACACGGTGGTTACGTGGAATTACCTCTGCTGGCGCGTGCGCGTGGGGTACAGCAGCAGGAGGAGTACAGCAGGTGTAGGAGTGGGTGTGTGCGGCCTTGTGGCCTTGAACCGGCACCATTGGAGGCAGCCCGGGGAAGCGATCGCACCGGCACTACTTGTACTTTCGGTCGAGCGATTTCACCGACAATGCTTTTCACAAGTATACCGGGCAAGTGGCATTGTTGTTCAACCGGCACATTATTAACAACGCATGTACCCGTGACAAATAGGCACTGCGTCTCGAAAGGGTCGTCGTTCTGTGATTGGTTGCATATTTTCAAAATAACACAAAGGATGCCGGGCTCGCCAACTCTTGGCGGTGTACCTTTTGGAGATCAGGCACGAGCGGGCAGCGGCCAGGATCGGAACGTTTTCAGAAAATATTTGTAGTTAAATGCGCTGGCATCTCAACCTTACTGTAGATACCTGACTGCGCACATACGTATGATTAACGTGCCCGGGCTTTTATACTCGTGCGCGCAAGCTGTGGTGTTCATAGACGTACGCGTACAAACTTGATTGCAGCATTGCGAACGTGGGTTGCACAGTAGTCGTGTCTGGGGTGTCTATAATATTAGCTAGTTAGGCACGCCATCCGAAGTTTACTGCGATTTCAAACTTCACACTCCCAGCGCGGATGAGAGAAAAGTTTCGGGGCGTACATACGCAACATGCACACGTGAGACGTTTTTCGGAATTTTACCCGGAAACAGCGAAATCGAGGACACGTGGTGTGGTTGATTGGGAGGTGGTCCGATTCGTTGAACAACGGCGGTGGTGCCGAAGGCAGTGAGTGGCCGATGATGAACTTGGAACGTTGGGGACAAAGCTCGCCCCTACGCAAGCCCTGCAGGGCGAAGAAACACGCATCTTATGCGGGATGCGTGTGTCGAAAAAGCATGATACATGTATCTCAAGCACATGCACGGACTTTTTCAGGCAGTAAGACAGATCGATCGCTCTGTAGTCGGAACGGCCGAAAACACTCAACCGGCACACACACGACGCTTTTCGGCGAAAAACACCAAAGCCACGTTGCCTGTCGACAGTCAGTCGACAGCCGTCGACAGGCATGATTGATTTTAGGTTTTGGCTTGCCGCCCGGCTCCGAGAATACCTGGTGCAAGCACCACGGGGGGGAAGCCAAAGTGATGCCACCAAGCGCGGTGTGGTTGATGCACCGCAGCCCCATTAGAGCGTGTATGACGTGGGTGCCGAGAATCCTCGCCGGTAAAAGTCGGTGTATGTATACAATGAACTGACTACATTTTGCTGCCGCTGGTGTACAAACTGGATACGTCTGCCGCTGCTGAAAGCAACTAGATAAGAAGCGCAACTTATCCCCCCATCTCACGCCATGCTTTGAAACGGGTGACACGCATAGCGCACTAACAAGCTGTCCCTGAAATGTGGCCTCTCACCACGAGCTTCGCAGCGAGGATAGTAAAGCGGCGGCCCATCCAGATTCCGAACGGGAAGCAGAGCAGCGAAACGGCAGCCAGCACGGCGAACCATACCGTCTCCAGCGTCGTGTTAGCTTGGTCGAAGAAGCCCATGGGAGCCCTCGCCGTTTGTCAAGCCTCCCGCCGGCCCCGTGCTACAGAACACACACCTCTCCCAACGGTGCTTGCGACACCACATTGCCTCTGCTGGCTGCTGCGCGCAACAAGCAGCGGGTTTTTCAGGCGGGGGCTACGCAGTATCATGCCATCCCTACCCCCAAAGAGGAGATGTGCCGCAATCGCAGAGCAAGGAGCAGAGCGCATGTGGTACTCTGCTAAGCACTCGCTGTCGCGTCGCATGGTGTCAACACGTGGGAAGTCAAGAGCCATGCGGGTACATGCGCTAGTAACTGCCGTGTTGGCAGCCTCCGTGACCATGCCTTCTTGCTCCAGAGTACGGGCATTTTGCGTTCCCTCCTGCTCCCGAGCACATCGTCCGACGCCCCCCTCGTCCTTAACAGGCACGAACATGTCACATCGACGAAGAGCGCGGCATGCACGAACAACAACACCGCCGTTGCACATGGCCTTCGATCCAGACGTGACGCCCGGCGCTCTGGACGCTTTCCACGTGTGGCTAACCAAGTCTGGAGTTAGACTCACAGACAACGCGGTCCTCGCCGGCAGATCACCGCTGGCGGGGGAGAGGGGCTTGGTTGCCGCCAAGGCTATCGAGACCGGCCAGTCGGTGTTGGCGATCCCGCAGTCTCTTGGCCTGACCGCCACGGGGCTCAAGAGCTCGGGCATCGCGCAGTATGTGGAGGGATTCGAGGGCTGGACCGGCGAGACGGGCCTGATCGCCTTGCAGGTCTTGTGGGAGAGGGCTCAGGGGGAAGGATCCAAGATGGCACCATGGATCGCAGTCTTGCCCAAGGAGGGAGAGCTCGAGATGCCGCTCTTCTGGGGCGAGGCTGATCTTACGCTGGCCGACGCGTCTTCGACCAGGGTGAGGAGGTTAACAGCGACTTGGTGTCCGCTCTTTCATCGCCAAGTCTTTTATTGGGAACGCATCTACAGAAGTTTATGGTACATGCACCAGATATCATGTAGAACTCGCCGCATTTTTGTGCATGTTTCTCGTGACGACGTGTGCACTCACTTACTTTGCCGCATCCGGTGGTGCCGACGCCAACACTCGTTTCGCAGCGTGCTGGGGCTGGCAATATGCTGTGTTATGCGCGCGTTATGACTTGCAAGGGCCACGTGGGCTGTCAGGGGCTATGAAGTATGCATTGAGCGGGATTGGTAGTACTGGCGGTGTGTGGGGTTCCTATTTCGGACGGCGAAAACGAGCAACACACAAGACTAGCGGGTACCACCTCTATGGTGATATGACAAGCAACTCATCGTTTTCATTGGACGCAGACAACCCGAACCGCTGGGATATGCCGTTTACCAGTACACTTGGCCTCCTACTTTCGAGTCTACCCGTGTCTATCGGACTCAGAGGTGTTCCCGCGGGGACGGCTTCCCAGCCGACGGCGTGTACACTCCATTTCACACTGCTACAGGCACAGGCGAGAGTGTAAATATTGACCTTTTTTGTTTCCTGTCGAACTCTTTGGCGGGCGCTGTACCCGCGCACGTGCTTCGCACACGGCGATTCTCACAGGGGATATCCGGCTTCGTCGCCGACGTAGACGAAGATTTCGCTTGGCTCAGCGAGAACGCTTTCGCGAAGCACCCCAAGGTCTTCCCCGCCGACAAGTTCGGGCCAGGCGACTTCCGGTGGGCCGTTGGGGTGGCGCTGTCACGTTCCTTCTTCGTCGACGGAGAGCTCCGGCTTACCCCCCTCGTTGACTTTGCGAACCACTCGTCGTTGCGGGGAGTGTCAGAGCCGACAGGTGGGTGTCACTGAGAAGCGCACAGCACGTACTTCGATATCTTTGCGCTACAATATCCCGAAAAATCGCATGTGCTTTGTAGGTGTACGTCATGTCTACCCTGGACCTGGTTCCGACCAACACACCTGGCATGGCGGCGGAACTGCGGTAGCAGACATGTCCCGACGTTCTGACGACGCGATGACCTGCTGTCAGGCGGCTGGTGTGGATTTTTTCAGTCGCCCGCGGTGATGCCAACGCCGCAGTTCGCTAGGCGAGGTTTCCCACCAGCTCAACGCGCTACATATCGCGCGCGTTGCTCCCTGTCTGGTTGACCCGTGCTCGACAAAGGAGGAACAACGGGCCTTTTCGGGTCGAAGGCCGTGGTGCTGAGAGCGGGAAAGAACTACGAGGAGGGCGAAGAGTTTTTTGTCAGCTACGGCCCGAAAGGCGCAGCCGGTTACCTGGAAGAAAACGGGTACGTCTACTTTCGTGGACCATTGCTTGTCATCGCTGCTGTAGGTGTAGCCCAAAAGTGTGAAGCAGTCTAGCCTCGCACCAGCAAGAGGTTGCCCGGGAGCGAAGTAGCCAACAGTTCGATCATCAACGGTCCAACAAGTAAGGTTTTTCCGCTCTCAGCTACTGCGTCGACCTGAGGAAATCCACTTCCACTGGATGCATGGCATGACTTTTCACGGAGCTTACGTTCAGGTACTTTTTGTTCCCGGCATCGTCAGACCAAGATGACTAAGACATTTTGATACCTACTTCAGCAAAGAAAAAGGGATGCAATTGTATGACCGGACCCCGTTGCTTCTAGCAAAACGCTTTCGTTGGTGAAACTGCGCCTCATCCTGTTGCTGTTGCCATGGTGTTGTCGCAGTCTTACGTGCTGAGCTCCATCCAGTACCTCCGATTCCGCATTCTTCAACGGCGAAGCACCGAGTTGCCGCAATCACGAGCTATCCCGATTAAAGGCGCGCAACAAAGGCGAAGACCTAGAGAAAGTGCAAAACAAAGGCGAAGACAGAGCCCCGCCACTCGTGTGAATGGTCGCCCGCTTCTTGTTAGAAGCCGTCTTCACCCTGTTCCGTTCTGCTCAGTGGGCTCGGTCGACGCGTGGGGAACAGTAGTCGCCCGGACTACCACGTGCGTGTGCTCAGGGTTGTTCTTGTCGATACCGATTGCTCTCCGCTCGTACGTTGTGATTCAGGTTCGTGCCTCCCGTGTCTGGATCCGAGGTGACGTGTGAGTTGGAGTTCAGCATTCCGGAGGACGACAAGTTCTTCGACGATAAGGTGCGACCCTGCCGTAGACTACACAACCCGGCGATGATACCAGTTTGGGAATCTAGAAAATTATCACCGGATGTGTGTGTAGTTGTGGGGGAGGGTGGTAGCGTGTGCCGCCCTTTTTTCTTGATCTGAAGGTTGTGTTAATGTTTTGGGCTGATATTGACCCGACATCTTTATTTTTTACCACTGGGTGCGGTATTGTGTCTTATTTTGTATATGTACGGTATTCACGACGACCGTTGCAACGCTGTTAGCGTGGTACCGTGAGCTAGACGGCCCCTGCCGATTGGTCGCGGTGTGTGCCCGGCGCCAGAGAATAGTGTCGCGGTGGCTGTCACCTTGGTAACTTTCGTCCTGGTGCACTAAAGCTAGTCCGTGAAGGGATGTGTGGTGCCGGGTGTTCGTTCGAGGGCTGTTCGTGAGGCGAGAAGCAAAACAAACATTTTGTGCTGTGCTGCGGGGATTGAGCAGACAACCCCCCCCCCACGACTGACCTCGTGAAAGAAGCGTTGTCAATGGCCAGATGAGACACAAGGCAAGCAACCCGGGAGCCCGTCCCCCCTATCGCCCCCAGACGTTTCCCGACACGTGTCGCGCTTGATGGATCAAACCTTTCTGCACCGTGCGCTCAGCTCGTCACTGACACCACTTGATGATGTGTCGAACGTACCCGCCGCCCACGTACAGGAAGACATCCTGGAGAGAGCCGGCTTGAGAACCTCTTCGACGTTTGATCTGACGGCGGTGGGCTTACCCGACGCTGAGGTGAAGGGGCGGGAGAATCGCTTTAGTGCATGTTTCGTTCCCGGGTGGCTCTCTTGGTTGTGGCCGCTGTGTTCGGCACCCCAGTCAGATTGTTGTATTTTTACCTGATTGTGACTGGACATTGCACGGGTGCTTTTTTAGAAGGAGCTTAGCGACTGATTCCACATGTCTAGAAAGATCGTCGAAGTGTGTGTGTGTTGTTGTTGCATGCGGCAGCCTCTCTGGTTCATCTTGTTTGTTCGCTCGCACGGTTATAGATCGATTCGGCAGCGCGATTGTGCACGTCTCTTCTATTATGTAGGGTCTTGGTGGAATCGAGCACGGACTGTGTTAGCCTCACGGGTTGATTCGTCTCTACGCGGAGTTGTGTCCCTCCTCAGCACCGGGCGTCGTGTGTTTTTGGTGCTGGGCATTTTCCATCCTCTGTCCTCACCCGACTGCCTCGTTTGCATCGTTCGACACCCCCACTGCCGGGCGCAAACCTCGCTTGCACCTCTGGCTATTAAACAAAAAACGTATGCAGCTGGTTCGATTCTTGCGACTGCTTTGCGTGAGCGGTGACGACGCGTTTCTCCTGGAGGGCATCTTCCGCAACGAGGTGTGGGACTTCATGAACGAGCCGGTCTCTCGGCCAAACGAGGAGGCCGTCAACGAGCTCCTAGCCACAAGGTGCGCGTGCCAGTAGGCCAAACTTTCCCGTCTACAATGATCCTGTTGCAAAGGAGGAAGGTCGAAATGGCATGTGGTACTCGGTGGATCGCGTGCTATGCTGAGCTGCTACATCCCCCGTGGTGGATTGTCCGGAAGCATGGACGGAGCACTCTTGGGGACGCGCAACGGTTAAGCGAACCTGCTTGCCTGACCACACCCGTCTGTGTCTTCTGTGGTTGCAGGTGTGAAGAAGAACTCAAGGCTTTCTTCGGCACCGCCAAGGAGGAAGAGGGCATAGTTAGCGGGAAGGCAGAAGCGAGCGAGCGACAGCGCCTCTGCGCGGGGGTACGCCAGGGGGAGCGGATGGCGCTAGAGGTAGGGGTTCGAATTTTTTTTTAGGCAACGACGACGACCGTCAAGCTCGCGGATGGGTGGCGTGGGGCTTGCGCACTCACCTAAGCGCTCTGCTGTGCCCCCCCAAGCCTTTTCGGTAACGTCGCCAAGAGTGACGAACAAGTCTGATGGCACTGCTGTTGTGGACCCCGGGCCTGTAGGTTACGTACTTGGTTGATTCGAAAAGGAACCAACCGGGTGTTGCTATTTTCTTGCCGGAGTATCCTGTGTGCGTATTTCACTGCAGAGGGCAGGTGTTGTCTAGGTCGTGTTCTGCGGCAGCCCGTGTACACGTGAATTGAGAGCCTGTATTGTGTGCAATAACTGTTTGATGACGATTAGACTTTGCTCCGTCGATGGGTTGGCTCAATGGAAAGTATTGGGAGAAGTTTTTTGGAATGGTGCATTTCATCATTGCGAATGTAGGGATGCACTATTTTTTATCTCCGATTGACGACGGGTCCCGTCGCTCTTCTCTCGGCATCGGTTTGTGGTTTCTCACGTCACAGATGACGAGAAGCTGGTGCGAATCAGACAGCAAGGCTCTCGACCGCAAGGAGTACTACCAAGAGCGCCGTTTGAAGGATCTCCAGCTGGATCTCCCTTGGGAGGCACGTATAAAACCTTGAAGCCTATAATTAACTTTCCTTAACATTGTAGAGTGGTAACCGAACAACAGCGGTGGTAGATCGGTATGTTGCTTGCAGACGCGTGTGCAAGTATCATGTCCGACCCTTGAAGAAAGGACGTCGACGGTCTGTCCTGCGTTTTGCTCGCTTACGCACAGGAGCGCACCGAAGCAGAGTGCCGAGGCAGAGGTCCTTTTCACTGATATGTCATTTCTTTCCTCCGTCTGGCAACCCTTATCTACCCCTTTAGAGTCAGAGATGCACACACGTGCCCCGCGCGAGGCTAAGAGACGTGTCGCCCACCATGACCGCAGCCTCGCGCACAAGCCAACACTTCCGGCCCCTCCTGGCGGATCCCCTGTTTGTGCAGGTCGACGAGATTTATCCTACGGAAAGGAGGCCGGGGGGAGGCGAGTTGGACTGGTGAATACTTCTCTGACAGCTACGCTGCACTTCAGACGAGCACAACGTGGACAGAGGGAAAAGAGGGGGGGGGGTGGGGGGGGAGATGCCTAACTGGGTGAATAGGCATTCATGTTCAGTTGCGGCTTGCAAGTGGGCGAAATTCGTTCTCCTGTGCATGTCCTTTTCGTTTTGTTGACTGCAGGAACGGGAGGAGGGTGCGTCGAATGTAATGCTGTTCTTTCTGTAGACGAAGAATGCTGTCTACTTTTGGCATGATGCTCGATAGATCGTTTGCCCGGGTCGTCGTTGTGTGTGCTGAACCACACGTTGTAGTTCCCCTTGTCTCTTTTGCGGCCCTGTCTACAACGGAACAGGGAATTTCAACCTACGTATCTTCCCGAGACCACAGAGAGGTTATCTGTGATCAACCTCTCGGCAAGATATCCCGGCTACTTGTGTCCAGGCAGTCTTCCTCCAAATGAAAGCGAAGTACTTTTCGCTTTTTTTTGTTTTTGTCACCACGATCGTTTTTCGATGTACCCCGAATGAAACGCTTCCTTCAGATTTTTTTACTTGTGTCTCAAGACGACAGGCGCTCTCTACACCCTACGCTTTGCGCTGAAACGAACGTTGATACTGTGTAGAGTAAATGCGTGCAGTGCTCTCTTCGTCAAAGGTGGTTGGTAGTGTTTTTCGTTCTTTTATGTGATGCACATACAAAGTGTCGACTGCTGCCGTACACATATATCCATCCTGAGGTCAGGTTTGGTCGCAGTTTTTCTCTACTCTGCACCGCAACACGAAAGGTATGAGGTGATTACGTATAGATGCGAACACCTCTACCTTGTTGCAACATATTCCATGTATCGCGTTGATGATGGGAGTTCGGAGCTGTGCAGGAGACCGCTGCGAACGCAACGCTGCCCGAACAAATTAGAAGAAAAGGGGGGGGGGGGGGGGGGATCGTACCCAACGGCACCCCCGCATGGCGTCGTCGGATCTAAACCCTTGTTCCCAACATACCATCACACGCACACAGCATCGATGCCTCTCTTGCTTGTAGCAAAGCTACAGAGGACAGGCTAGAGAGAGAAAAATTACAGTCACGTGCGTAAAGGAGGGCGACGTTACGCGCCGAGGACGGCTATCGGGTTGCCTCGGCGGGCGCTATAGCTCGAGAGCTCGTTCATCGACTCCACATCTCTGACCCAAGCTGCGACACGAAAAGCCAGTAGCACCAGGTCGCCCCTTGTTGAGCGGGGGCGACCCATCGAAAGGGACAGGAAAACGAAGGATATAGGCGCCTGGTAGGAGTGTCATCTCTAGCAGGGCTCCTCGCCAAGAGGGTGTCCCTCTACGGTTCGAATGGAGATCGAACGGAGTACCGAAGGTGTCAGCTTTCTCCACGACTTCCTCTCACATTTTTCATCGTGGTGCCGCGATCATGCCCGTAGCGAACAGCAGCAGCAGCAGCAGCAGCAGAAGCAGCAGCAGCGCAGCCAGGAGTCGAAAGCAACGTCGGTCGAAGCGGGGATCCTTCTCGTGAGGATCGCTGGGGAGGTGCTGTTTCTCTGCTCCACCCATCTTGCTCAGGTGCGTCTCTTTTGCATAAATTACTTCACGAGTGCAATGAACGCACTTTCGCAACGCGTTGTTCGCGCGAAAACATTTCAACAGAGTGCACGCTTGTCTACAACAATGGGTGTGGCTCGGCCAGCCCACCTCTTCCATCGAACTTGCACCTCTTGGCGCACACATCTGCATGTGCCTATCTCATCAGCTTTCAGGGAGAAGTGCCTCGGGAGAGTGATACGAAGGAAGCGTCTACCGAATAGAAGCAAAGTGTATGGACTGGTTTGAGAATATCCCCCTCTACAAGCCACCTCCCGTCCATTACGATCGGGCAGGCTTGAACCAACTCTCGAGATATACAGCAGAAGTAGTACAGCAAGTAGTGTGGAAGGTGGTAAGGATCAAGGATCAAGCAGGCACCCGACACTTACTGCGAAGGTGGCATTGAATTGTACACTTGCCTTTCTTTGATATCGGGGTCGGTCGGAAGGCACAGCTTTTTGTCGACGAGAAACGTCTACAAGGTAATGTGTCCGTGGGACACCCCAATAGCAGTATAATAGTACAACTCCCGTCCTGGGAAGCGCAGTACAGCGCGCGCCACCCAAAAGAACGAGTAGAAGTGAGACCCCGAGCACCGGGAGTTAGGAAATTCAGGCTCACAACAAGACAAGGTTTAAGAATTGGCCATGCGAACAGGTGCTCAGATAAGGATCCTTCACCAAAACCCGTATAGTCGATGTTGGGACACCCCCCCCAAGATAGAGAAGAGGGGAGCCTCGGGCTACGTAAAGAGGTTATTATTACGTACCAGGTCAACCAGGTAGGCGAATTGGCAGCGCACACTACTTGTACTGTTGTAGCGCTTCTAGGGTCAAAAGGCGGCTATTCTACTCTCATGGCTGAACGAGTTGATCGATGCAAAACCTTCCTTGATGACAGTTGCAATACCGTCGCTGTCCTTTCGGGTATTGTAGGCGATGGTGACCAAAAGCGCGTTTTGATCCTCTTTTCAGGAACAACAGCAGTGCTGATTGGTCCGGCAACCGCCACTTTAGAAGTAGTAATAGTTTCAACGCCTTCGCTGGGTGAGCCATGCCATAGGCTTTCAAACGAGAGCGTCGGCCAGGATCCGTACTGCACCGACCCTCGACTCGTTCATGGCGGCGCGGCAACTGGCAACATGCCATTGTGGACCGCTCGTGACCCTGCGCTGTCTCGCTTGAGGTGCCTGCTATCCACCTTGTTGAGTGCGGAAGATGGATGAGCAGCAACCAAGCGTGGTGGTGGGATTTCGGCGAGCGAGCGCAGCAGGCGCCGCTGCTGTGTTATCGGGCGTTTTTCGCTTCGTGTCAGCGGCAGGCGGCGTATACCTGTTTGTCTTCCTCGATCTCGAACACTGCGCACAACACTGCCGCGATTTTTGACGAGCTTGCCAAAATGAGCTGTATCTGGTCCATGGCCCTGCGTCGTTCGGGGGCGTTGCGCTTGAGGCTGTCTATCCCTCCCTACAAGCAGTGGCGTGCGTGTTTTTGCGCGGGCCCTGAGGGTGCGATTTAGCATTCTCCAATTGTCAAGTCTTTAATTCTATGTAGCCGATGCGTTCTCGATTATTACACATGCTGATGTTTCACGCTCCTCCGCCTCCGGTGCCGCTGCCCTTCGTGCTCTACGCAGTGGCGTGCGCAAAACCCCCCGGGCGAAGAAGGGGAGCATGTGCTTCCACCCCATGTCCGGCAAGGATACCTCTATATGCTTTCCATGGCAGACTACGCCGCCGGCGAGCTATGGGTGAGCTAAATAGCTGACAATATTCGTGTGTGCACAACGTTGGTGCTCGTTTAATTGCGCAGTCATGACTCCGGGAGCGCAGGGAAACACCGCGTGTTCCACGAATGACACTCAAGCCCGGACTGACTGTATTGTTCTGCGCATATGTTGCATGGAGCAGCCGCCGCTATTGTTGTGATAACGTCCCCGCTCGTGCCGTCTGTATGCGATTGACCACAAATATTGGCTCGGTTTTTGGCTTTTACCGCTTTTCCGAACCACCCGTCCTCGAAAACAGCGCCTGGAATCGGTCAGTGGACGGGGGTCTGGCCAGGGCTCTACCTCGTCCTCGTCTGCGGCAGCGAGCGGCGGGGTCTGGCGCAACCTTCCCCCGGGCGCTGTCGACGGTTTGAGCCACGGGTTGACGGCCTTCATCATCAGGTACTGTACACACGCTGCATAATTTTTCGCAATAAACGACTGTATTTGCGTCGTTTGTCGCGATAAACGGCTGGTTTTGGGTTGTTTTCGTCGTTCGGTCGATTCCACCTTCTTTGTTGACTGGTGTTGTGGTGACCACTGCTGTCTGGTGGTTTCAAGGCTTCGGTGACCGCTGAGCTTTTAGTAGGGTGCATGTTGAGTTTTTTGTGCGCGATCTCGCGTCGCATTTTTCTCGTACCCCAACCATGGACTGTTTTTTGTGCGCGATCTCGCGTCGCATTTTTCTCGTACCCCAACCATGGACTGTTGAGTATTACACGCGAACAGTTTTGATCTCTCGCTATCAGCCTTCGCACGAACCCACAAAATTTTGCTGAGAACACGTGCACCGTAGTGTCCTGCTGCTTGAGCAGCCACGTGTGCTCGTTAGCCTTATCGAGCCATTGCTGTGTTTCTGTATCCGATATTTTTTACTTCTTCGCCGATACGGAAACGGTCTCATTGGTCTCCGTTCTTGACCTCGAGAGTGATGCGTCAACATGATTTTTTTTTCTTTTACCTCTGGCGTATCCGATTCCCTAAAGCGTGCTCGAAGGAGGCATCGCCCTGCACCTGTCGCCTGCCGACGTTAACGTCGCGGTGGGGATCGTGGAAAGGCTGGCACTTCAGGCACCCCCCGCGTCACTAGGTTACGGCAGCAACGGCGGTGGTAGCGATCCGTCGTCACGAGCACTGGTGGGTTGGCCCTCCACGCCCGTCCCGGATGTCGAAGACGCGTCTTTCGGGTTGACCAGGCCCGTGGTCGGGCCACTGCGGGAGTCAATGAATCAGCACTTCGGCACCCCCACGGGGGGCGCGACCATCAGTGGTGGTATGATGCATAGATTAGGTGCTGGCGGCGTGGGCTCGCACTTTGCCGCCGGCAAGCCGGCGCTCTGTCTGGTCGCCGGAGACGCCCTCGGTGCCAGGCTGCTGGGGTGGTGCACGGTGTTTTGCCGGTCGCCGCAGTGGCGCGGTCTGTTCTCGGAGGCCGGCGGCGGCGGCGGCGGCGGCGGCGGCGGCGTCCTCCGACCGCTCTCGCCTCTCTGGGGGGAGGGCAGCAGCGGGGAAGAGGCCGGCGCCACAGGTGTTGTTGCGGGCAAGAAACGAACCGCAGAGGACATGGAGGCCGCCGGCGAGGAGGGTTCAGGTGGCGCGCAAGACGGCGGTGCCCCGACGCCGCCGCCTCCGGCGAAGAAAGCCTCCGCGAGCGGCGGCAGCAGCAGCGGCGAGGGCCGAGGAGAAGGCGACCGGCCCGCCGGGCTGGAACGGCTCCTGTGCGTCGTCAGCCAGGTGGTGCGGATCGTGAAGGAGCACACCAAGGTGGCGAAGGACAAGGCCGGCGCGGCTGGGTTCTTCGCGGGCACTTCTGTCGGCGGCGGCGGCCCCCGCGGCGTGCCGGTCTTCGACGTGCGCACGAGAGAGTCTTCCGGGTTGGCACAGGCGGCTGTCGGGGCCCTGGCCGACGCCGCCCTGGACGTCTTTGCTGATCACATGGAAGACCCCGCCCTTCATGGACGGCTGCGCCGAGACGCTCGGGTCACCGGCGAGGACGCAGCGGCAGCGGCGGGGGAGGAGGGCTCCACCGGTCTGGGCCGCGGGAGGGGGGCCCCGATGGCAATGTCGGACTTGTTGCCGCTCGTAGACAGCACCTCGCCCGCGGAGACGGTGGGCCTGAGCGTCGACCTCATCGGCGACATCGCGTGGCTGTTCTCGTCGCTCGAGCCGGAGACGGAGGCGGGCACGGGCGGCCGCGGCGGTACCGCCGCGTCCAAGGCCGGACCCGCGGCGGCGCAGCTGTCGTCTGCGATGTCGTGCTGGGCGTCCGGGCGGGTCCTGGCGTGCATGCCCGGGCGCGAGCACTTGGAGTACGCCTTGTGTCTTCCGTCTTCGTCGGCCGCGGGGGGGTCGGAGGAGCCAGCGGTTCAGGCCGCCGGTCTGCCTCTTGTTCGCCCCCTCCCGGCTAGGCTTGCCTGCTTTGCGGTGCGCAATCTACTCGACAATGTCCAGGTGTGTGGGGGGGTGGGGTGTATGTGTGACTGACTTGTTGTGTTTGGTGTTTGGGAAGCATGTGTGCGGGAGGCGTTTACGCGGCACGAGCTTCATACCCGCAACTGCTGTTAGGTACACAGCTGCTGTGGCCTAGGCTCTAAGAATGGAAAACTACAGATCAAATCCGAAGTATCGAGGAAAGCAGTACAGGTCGTTTTTGTCTTCAACCCTCTCTCACACACAATCTTTCACCCGGGCATCTCCCCTATCATCCGAACTCCCAACCTCGAGTCTGTTACGGACGTCTATGCTGTGTACCCCGAAACACCAGTTTTTACAATCCCTGAAACCAGCACCATAAGATGAAACCAGGGCTGTGACACCGGCTGAGTGATACTGATACGTCTATTCTATTGGCGTCTTGCTCTACCGTGTCTAGACTGAGCCAAGACCGGTTGTGCAGCATGTGTGTTAGCCGTACATGTGCCTCGAAGCCTGTCCAGTTTGAGAGTGGCCGCGCGAATGGACCTAAAGTATGGGCATGTTATCGTCTTAACAAAAACACTCAGGTCGCCCGCGAGAAGGACTGCGAAAGCGGTGCGGCGGAACCTCCTCCCCGGCTACTACCGATACAGGAGTCATCGTCGGCGGCGTTGTGCGCCGGGCGCTCGACGGCCTCGCACCGCGTTGAGCTCATCACGGAGCAGATGTCGGCGTGGCGCGAGAGGCGGCAGCGGTGGCAGCAGCAGCAGCGGCAGCGGCAGCAGCAGCCGCTCATCTACAGCGAGGAGGCCGTGGCCTCTTCCGCCGGGCCGGCCGCCGCCATGGAAGTGTTGGACGCCCTGGTGGCGCTGCTGTGCGGGGCGGCGGAGCACGAGCGTCTGACCGAGGCCCCGGGGGGCGGTGGCGGCGCAGCCGCCGCCGCCGCCGCCAAGCGGAGACCGACGATGTACACCGCTGGTTCCGTCGGCACGCTGATCGGGCTTGTCCTCCAAGCGCTGTCGGAGATCCTCGGCCAAGCGTCCGCGGCGTCCGGGGCCAGGTCCGGAGGCGGCACCTCGACCCGGTCTGGCTTCTTGACCCGGGGGAAGAAGCGCCGCGGGTCGGCGGCGTCGTTGCCCGGCGACGGCGGCGGCGGCGGCGATGCCGGCGCTGCGAGCTCGACCGCCACTCCCTCGAAGTGGACCAGCCTGATGGGGCAGCAGGTGATGTCCTGCCTAGACCGCGTCCACCTTGCGGGTTTGCTTCTGGCGTGGGAGTCTTGTCACCCGTGGATCGAAAGAGAATTTCCGACGGCGGCGGCTTCGTCGTCGGGGGCGGCGGCGGGCAGGCTGTCCCTGAAGCAGAGTCGGAGCTGGCAGAGCTTTTGCTCGCTCATGGGACTCCTGGCTCAGGCGTGCGTTTCGCCCAGGCCCCCGCCGCCGCCCGGGCAGGGGCTGGCGGCGCTAGTGACGCAGGCCGTGCTCTCTTTCAGGGCGACCAGCCGCAGCGCCAGCGATGCGTTGCCGTTCTTGGACATGCCGGCTGTGCTACTTCTCTGTAAGGTGAGACGTCCCGGGAGTGAACTAAGTTCCATTTTGATGTATGCACACCATGATGATCTTGTTCTGGGGCGCTGCCAAGCAGGGTGGAAAGCGTTGCATGGCAAGTCGCGAGACGTTGACGAACTTGATGAATATCGTAGGAAGTAACATGGTAGCGTTCGTGATGCCATGAGCAATGGTAAATTAGTTGATGAAGACAAGAGGAGCACGGGAATAGGCACGCAAATGCACAGAATGGACAACACTTCCAGCAAGTGATTCAAGGATGGAGTAGATAAGACTACACAGGATATGGCGTAGAGAATCATGAAACGGGCACAACAGATAAGGATCGAAAGGGTGACATCAAGCAGAAATGGTTCTCAATCGTTATATGTAGCTCACTCTGCAGGGTTCGGTAGTCGTTCTTTCTTGAGATATTAGCATCCGGTGACCCCCCCCCCCCCGATTCCTTCGCTCTTTCCATAGGTCCAGGGGTGCCTTTCATCGACCACGGCGATGGAGGATAAAGAGTCTAGCTCGCGCTTGGCGCAGCTGCTGTGGGACCGTTTCTTCACCGTGTGCCAGTCCCACGTCGTCTTCTGGGAGTGGCAGGCAACGCTCGAGGGCCCGGCGCGCAGCTCGCGGCCGCCGCCTTACGGCGCCATCTTCCGCCACCACGCCCAGCTTTTGGCGTACACCTACTTCTACCAGGTCTTGGAGGTCAGGCGCGGTCTGCTGGCCGCCCATCTCGGCCTCGTTCGCAGGCTGGGCGCTACCGTGGTCGCCAGGGGATCGTCGGCGGTGGGGGCGGGAGGCCCGCAGCTGCTCCTGGCCCAGTGCATGACGCTCGCGGAGTTTCTCCTCCGCACGACCCACGACAACGAACAGTCCCTGGCGCAGACGGCGCGGCTCCGCAGAGACCTGGCTCGCCTGTCGGACGTGCCCCCGGCGACCGCGGCTGCGGCGACGACCACGGCCTCCGGCGGCAGCAGTGCATCGCCCACCACGCCGCGCTCTTGGTTCCTCTCGGTGTTTGCGGCCGACGAGGACGCGGGAATCCTGGCGATGCACGAGCGGCCGGGCGTGGCCCGCGCGAGCAGCCGAGCCCTGTGCTCAGAAGTCTCCGCCGACGGCTTCGAAGGCTGGCGCGAAACTTGGCTCGGCGTCCTTGCGGCCGCGGCGGGCTCGACGGCGGAGGACTCGACCTACCTGTTCTTCGCCGCCTTGAGGCTGCTGGGCACCCTTCCGCCTCGAGAGGTCGTCGGGGGAGGACCATCACCGGCCGCCGCGCGCCTTGCGCGGCTTTCGCCCGGCGTGGAAGGGATGTGCGAGATAAGGTTTTGCCTGCTGGGCTTGCAGTCGAGCTCTTCGGAGTGGGGTCTCCTCTCTCCCGCGTTCGCGGCGACGTTGGCCTCCGTGCGCGAAGGACTTCCGGGCTGGTTTGGCGTGGAACCGCGGGACTTGGCCGGCGCCCTGGTCGCCGGTTGCGCTCGCACGGCGACCCAGTACGAGCTCCTCGTGGGCCAGCAGCGCATCCACGGCCTTCTCGAGGTGTTCGCGGTGTACGCTCGCGCTGCGGTGACGACGGCCGAGGGCGGGCTGACGGGTGGTGGTGCACAGCAGCATGCAACCGGAGATGACGACGACACCGAGTCGTCGCCCAAGCCGCTTGTGGGCCTCTCCCTGGGCCTGATGCAGCTGGCCGAGGAGTGTGTTGCCTACTACCACCGGACGATCGAGGCCGCCCTCACAGCGCTGCATGCGGTTGGAGAACCGGAGCAGCAACTCGGCGAAGACTCACGGTTGCCGGGGGCACGGCCTTCGGACGATTCGGCGAGCGAGAGTGGAGTCATCGGCGGCAGTATTCACCCCAGGGGCGTTCAAGCAGCGGGCAAAGAGGATGATGCCTCGGCTGCTGCTGCTGCTGCTGCTGCTGCTGGGGCGGCCGACCAGCAAGTTTCGGCGGAGAGCGCGGTGCCGATCTCGATGCTTGTCCACTGCCACACGCTTTCCGCGTCGCTTAGCCGCCTGTCGTGGATTGGCTGTGACCAGTTCTTGGTCGGGGGGCTGCACACCGAGCTCAATAACCTCAACGGCGAACCGCCGCTGGACGCTCTCCCGCCGTGGCAGGTCAAAGCTTGCACCAGCTCGACCACTCGAGGGTCCCAGAGTCCGAGCAAGCTGACCGGCCCTTTCGCGGAACCGAACGAGTCGGGGTCGGAGGTGGGAAGCCGGACCAGGGACGCGCGCCTGCAGCGGAAGTGGGAGGTGATGGCGAATGGAGCGACGTGGCTCACGGTTGCGTCTTCGAAGGCGTTCGTCGGCGACAGGGACGGCGGCGAACTAGACGGCGGCGGCGGGGACCAGGCGGGAGCCGGAGGTACTCCTGAGACGATGGCGGAGTCATCATCGCGGCGAAAGGTTGAGGCCGTGGTGGACTCTGCCACCAAGATCTGCGGCTCGGCGAGGTCCATGCTCCACGCGGTGTTGCTGAGCGTCCTTGCTCTCACCGATGCCCTCGCATCTGCGGGGAAGGCGACCACCCCGTCGAAGACTAGGCAGGGGGCGGCGGCGGCGGTGGCTCTACTGGACGGTGGTGGTAGACAAGAGACAGCGAGTGAAGCGTGGTCGGCGGTAGCTTTCCGCGCCGGTGCGTTGTGGGGCGAGCTCTCTACCAAGCCCTGGTGCAAGTGGTTCGCGCCCCTTTGCGGCCGTGCCTTCGACAGGCTCGTCCTGCGGGCCGACCGGAAGTCGGCGGGGGGTATGTCCGCCACCCAGGCGGAGCGCAAACGGGAAGAAGCTCGCGGCGCCTTGCAGCTTTGGAAAAAGGTGACGGGTTCGTGGCAGGTGCGGAGGGCGGACACCTTGCTCCGGCTAGCGCTGGAAGCGCCCGGGCAGGACACGACCATCTGCGCGAAGGTGGCCTTGGAGGAGGGGCTAGAGCAGCTGATCGCTCTGCTCGTGATTCCTCAGACAGCGGGTAGTGTGGTCGGGTACTACGGTAGGCAATCAGTTGGTACTTCTTCGGATGGTGACGTGGTTGCGCGAGCGATTGCGTCGGTCGTGCCTCCTTGTTCACCCACGGTCGTAGCCGGGGAAGCCGCCGCAAGTGACTCGATGGAGGTGGAACCTGATCGAACGCCCGCGCGTAACGCGGACCTGATCGTGACACGGGGAGACGTGTCCACGCTCACACGGCTACTCGAGCGCAGCGAGTTCTCGGACAGCTTACCGAAGACGTTGATGGTGCTCGAAGCCGCCCTGGAGGCCGAAGCGGACGCGTACACCGTGTCTTCATCCGCGGCACCGAAAGAACACGGCCGCCCGCTGACTAGCGCGGTCGCCTGTGCCTTCAGCAGCTGGCCGGAAGGGGTCGTCGAACGCCTGGTTGCGGGAGCCGTGTCGTCGCGTCCGCAGACGAACGCGGTTGTCGTTCTGAGCTTGGCGGCGGGGTATCCTGCCGCTTGCCGGGGGGCTTCTCCGCCCGAGGCCGGTGGGGCTACGGGCGAGCAACAAGGCATTCTTCAAAAACGCCTCTTCCATTCACTTCTGGCGACGGCGACTTCGTGGGTCGGCAGGCGGGACAGCGTTGGGGGTGCCTCGTTCACCGGCGGCAGGGGCAAGCTCGACGGAAGGAACGCGGCGGGAGGTGCTACAGATTTGGCCAGCCTGTTGCTGTGGCTCGCCTCGAAGCACGGCATGTTCACCGAGCTCGTTGTGGCGGTCATGGGAGTAGCGCGCGGGTTGGTGCGCGCGCTGGAGCTGCGAGCGGAGTCGAGGGACGAGATGCAGGTGGAGGAGGAGGAGGAGGAGACGGGCGGGGAAGAGATGGGGGAGGAGGAGACAGCGGGATCGCTCGCTCGTTGCCTGGCACTCATGGCGACCGTGCTCGGGCCGGCCGAGGGCACGATGGACGAAGAGGGAGAGACCGACGCAGAGGACACCGGCTCGTCGGGCGATTTGGCAGAATGGATCGACGACGCCGGTAAGATCTGCAGGAGGGGGCCTTCGGCCGGGTGGGATGACCAAGGAGTGGCCGATGCTGCTGCCGCAGCGAACGCGCAGCGGCAACGGCAGCGGCAGCAGGAGGAGGAGCCCCCGCTGGTTTGCACCTTCGTCTCGAGCCACAAGCAGTTTGTGAACCAGCACTGGTACCACTGCTACACGTGTAACCTGGTAAACGACAAGGGCTGCTGCCGGCTGTGCGCGCGCGTGTGCCACCGGGGCCACGACGTGTCGTACGCCCGCCTGTCGTGCTTCTTCTGCGACTGCGGCAGCAGCACGGCGGAGGGCGGCACCCCTCCCCCGTCCCTAGAGAATTCTCCCGCGTCGTCGTCCGGGGGGGAGGTCGTGTCTCCAAGCGGCCGTACCGCCGACACCGGTGGCGGCGGCGGAGGAGCTACCTCTCGGGAGGTCTGCCGAACCAAGTGCAGCTGTCTCAAGCCCAGGACACGGCGTGAGCTCAACGCCCTTCTTCACCCCCCGCCTGCCGGCTCCAAGGCCGGTGATGTGGGCTCAAACGCCGGCGACGCACGAGATGGATCGAACGCTAAGCGCATGGCTGGTCACGGCCTGGAGTCCGGCGGTATGGGCAGCAGCCCCCGCGGGGGTTCCGCGGCCCAAGCGGCTGCATCCCGGGCGAAAGAAGCGACGGAGGGGGCTGCTGCCGCAGCCGCGGCAGCGGCAGCGGTGGCCGCGAGAGCTGTCGGGTGGCGCGATTCGTCGGTCGAGATGGCGTCCATGCGTGCAGCTCTGTTCGGCGGCGGTGGCGACGGAGGCAAGCCCGGCATCGCTGAGGAGTTGCGCGCTGCGTTCTCGGTTTTGTTCGCCAGGTTCAACGCGATGCATGCCCCCGCCGGAGGGGGTGTCGGAGACGGCAACGGCGGCGGCGGCGGCGGCGACGGTGGCCGGGGAACCGTCAGCCGTTACGCCGGCCGAAACCGAAGCGCTGGCGGCGCTCCTGGCGCTCCTCGTGTAACCCCATGGGATGCCCTGTGCGATGCGCTGGAAAGCTACGTCACGGCCACGCCATCACCGGAGTCGCCACCGCCGCCGGCCGCAGTTCTCCGCTGTCGGCCGCTGCACGACCCCAACGCCCGGATGCCGGCCTACCCGATCCTGGCGCCGGCGCGGCTGTTGAGGAATGGGAGCCTGGATGTCCGCCTGCCGGCTGATGGGGTGCGCGCGAGGCAAGACCGAGCCGCGATGACCCTCCACGGGGTGGTGCGGCGCAACCTCGCCGCGAGCTCGTGCGGAAAGATGGCCGTTGCGGAGGCCCAGAAGGTGCTCATCGTCGACCCCGTCGGCGCGCTCGCGCTACGCTACGCTACTGCAGCGGCAGTCGGCGGCGGCGGCGGCGGCGGCGGAAGTGGCGGAGGTTCAGGGTCATCAGGGACGGGGGGGAGGGGGTCGACGGCGACGCCGGTCGGGGCGCAGGGCGCGCGCGCGGCAGCAGCGTCTTCTCTCTCCGGGCCGGCGGACATACCGGTCGACCGCAGCCACCTCTGCGTCCTGTCGTCGATGGCGGTGGGTTTCGACGTGATCGGCGTTGCGTTCAACCCGGCGAACGAGCGCCATCTGGTGGTGTGGGGCCTGCGGCAGTGCTGTGTGGTCATCCTGAACTCTCGCGGCGTGGCGCTCAGGCGTGTTCAGGTACGCACTCGAATCGCGTGCTTGCGGCAGCTTCTTGTCCACGATGTCGGGGGTTACGCCCAGTTGTTTTCTAGCCGTAGTCCTAGTCAGCCGAGAGGTGTCCAGCCGCACAGCAGTTCGGAACAATCGCCGCCAGTCGGAATACGTACCCGTTCTCGCCGTCCAGTGGTGAAAAAAAGTGTTTTCTCGAAGCTAGCCTTGTCATGTGCACGTTTCCGTTTGGTTGTGTCAATTCCGCTTCGAATCATCCCTTGTCCTGCGAAGCCATCATCATGTCTTGCCGGCCGTTTTTGCTGGTCGCTTGTGGGAGTGCAGGTGAACCTCTCTTTCGGCGGATTCGGCTCGGGCGGGGATGGCGGCGACGGTGACCGGAACGGTGGGAGTGGTGCCGGGGAGGACTGCAGCACGTGCGTGTTGAAGGCAATCTGGGTCCCAGGCTCGCAGGTCAGAGAAGAGCGATTGAGATAAATTTTTTTCGAGCTCGGTGGTGGAGGGTATCGGCGGCCCCCGAAAGGAAGAAGTAATGGTGCGTTTTTCAGGATGCCAAATAGGTGGGTTTTTGATCTCCTGTGTAAGAGTTGAGAGCGTGGCAAAAAGAAGGCCACCTTTTGTGGTGAGGGGGCGAGATGACCTGCGGTAGTGGTGCCAGGAGGTACGTCCGCGTGCATCGAACCACCGCCGTCGATGACACAAGCAAGTGCTAGTGCGGAACCCTTTCGAGTTGTTGATCCAGGGCTGAGCTTAATTAAGTTCGCCCCTGAATCCATCCATCCACCTCCTGCTTCGCGAACGCGAATACGCTCCCGACACAGATTTTGCTAGCTGCGGTGTGCACCCAGTTCATCCGCGTGTACGACCTCTCCGCCGACGCCGCGGCCCCGATCCACACCTTCTACCTGCCAGCGACCGCGGAGGACGCGTCTGGCGACGGTGCCGGCTCCTGCATACGCGACGTTGTGCTAGTTCCTGCGACCTTGCCGCCCGCGACTCCTTCTTCGGCGGGGACGGGGCCGGCGGCGCCCGGCGGCCTTCCTGCCGAGCCTTCGCTACGGGAGGGCAACGCCGGCGCCCCCGCTCTCCTCGCGACGGCGGTGGTGCTCACAGGCGCCGGGCGGCTGTACGGCAAGGGGATACCGGGCCCGAAATCGTCGGAACCCGGAAGCAGCGGCGGCGGTGGCGGGGCGGGGCATGCCGCTCACGACGGGGAAATTCGACATCGGCTGGTCATCCCTGCGCCCTTGGAAGAGGAGGCGACGCAGGTTTCGGGCGCCGGAGGGGGAGGCGGTTCTGGACCCGGTAGGAACGGCGGCGGCGGCGGCGGCGCCGGAGATGGCAGCAACAGCGAGAGTGGTGGCGGCGGTGGTCGCGGGGGCCGCAGCGAGAGCGTGGGCGGCGCCAGCGCGGACACCGGCGGGGGCAGCGGGCGGGACGTGGAAGAGGTGGAGTCTCCTATGTCCGGCATGGACTCTCCGAGCTCTCCCAGCTACCTCTACCTCAGCGCCTTCGCGGGCTGCGACTTCGACGACGTCGTGAACGACTCCCCGGACGATAGCGTCATCTTCGCCGAGCCCGGGCTGCGGCGCCGCGGCTGGGCGGGGTCTTCAACCGGCGCGGCGGCGGCCTCCTCTTCCTCCGCGGCGGCGGCGGTGTCCGCCGCCGACGCCGTCCTGGCGATGTCGCCGGGCCGGTCGGCGAGAGCCTCGGCGGAGGCGTCCGAGACCGCAGCGGCCTCCTTCGGCGCGCTCCACTTCTCGAGCGCGACGGGCCTACTCGTGGTGGCGCGCGGCGGCAAGTCTACCCTGGCGTTGCGGCTCCGAGGAGCCGGCAGGATGACGGAGGTCGGCGGGGGCTTCGTGCTTCTCCCGCGCCTTACCGGCGCTTCCGCCGCTGGCGGCGCCGGGGCGGTGGTCACCGCCGAGGGCGGGGTAACTCCCGTGGCTCAGGGAACTTTGTCGGGGCCGGCAAGATCCGGGGAGGGTAACGCCGCCGCCGCGGCAGCTGCTGCTGCTGCTGCGGCGGCGGCGACTCTTGAGGCGAATTCTTGCCTCCCGCCGTACACACGGTTTTTGGACTACTGGGACGCGGCGGGCGACCTGTCGGCGGGGGAGAACGGCGGCGCCGGCGCCGGCGTAGGGAACGCCGCTGCAGCTCCGAGTGCGTCTCTCGTATGCGTGGCCGTGGGAGGAGGGCGAGTGAAGGCTGATCGAGTGCTGGCGATGAGGGCCGGCGCTGGATCTGGCGAGGGGCACACGGTAAGAGATCTCTCATTGTTTTTGGTGGGCTATAGGTCCGTCGGTGAATCTCGGTGGAGTCCATCCCGCTGGACGAGGGAGAACGGTTGCTTGGTGTTTTATTTTTTTCCTGGTTTGTGGTCGTTGTTGATCGCGCGCTTGGGCGAGAGCACTCATTTCTTTGTACCGTTTTCAAAACCGTTGGGCCGAGCCAACGAAACGACGTTTTTTTTTGCGGGTTTAAAAGAGTGTACCTGTAGAACGGCAGCAGCTGTTCCGTTTGGCGCATGCCTCGTGCGCATTGGCAGATAGATGATGCGTAGAGGCATGCTTTAACCTTGCCGTCCCTCGTTTTTTCCGGCCTCACCCGTGTTCCTCACGCACCATGCTCCAGGCGGAGCTTGAGCTCCAGCACTTGCGGTGGCCACGCCGAAGCGTTGCTCAGGTCGGCCCCGCGGCGTTTGCCGCGCTCTCCCGCAGCCTTGTCGCCGGCACGGTCCAAGGAATGTGTGTGTGTCCAGCCCCCCCGCCGCCGTCGCCTTCGTCTGCTAGATTGGGGCTGAGGCCAGGAGCGGCGACCAGCGGCGAGGAGCTCAATGGCGGTGGTGCTGGCGCCGGTAGAGGGAGCTATGGCGCCGGCCACCAGCCGCCCTACGTTACCCCCGTACTCATGGTCCTGTTCGACAACGGCAGCGTCCAGTGCTACACCAGCCCGGCCCACCTCACGGCCGTCGAGAAGGAGAGGACGCGGGCGGCGGAGCAAGAGGATTCCGCGGCGGCGGCGGCGGCGGCGGCGGCGGTGGTAGAGGCCGCCGACGCTTCCCCCGCGAGGCCAGCGACGCAGCCCTTGGGATCGCCGTCCTCGCCGCCGTTGAGGTCGGATGGAGGGACAGCGGCGTTAGCGGCGGCAGGCGGAGCAGGAACCGCGGCAAGCAGCGAGGCCGCCGCCGCCTCTAGGAAGTGCTCTTCCCGCAAGAAGACGGTCGCCAGGCGCGGGGTCACCTACAGGCCGCGCCTCTGGCAGCAGCCCCCGCCCTTGACCTCCACGGCGAGGCGCCCGGGGGACCGCATACAGCGGATGGCGTGGTCGCCGTACCTGACGAGCGGCTCGAGCGACGGGGAAGACGTCGGGGCAAGCTTGCCTTCTTCCTCGGCCTCCCGCAGGCGTTCTTCTCTGCGGAGCGGGGGTGGGACGAACCCCTCGCCGGCGGCAGCGACGGTGGCGGGGGGGTCCGGCGGGGGAGGGGGGGGCAGCTCGAGCGGCCACGACAGCACCAGCGACGACGAAGCCTTGGTTTCGTTCCGGTCTAGGGTAAGAGGGAGAGCGTGCTGCCACAAGGGGGGGGGGTGGGGGTACTCATAGCTTTGCATGCCGTAGTCGTTAGACCATTGACGTCGCATCCCTACATAGCCGGGACGGAGCACGCCGGGTGCTCACCGGACCAGGCGGGAGGGGGGCATGTGTCTGGTTGTATATGTTTCTGACTGTTGGTGCTCTTGGGTTCATGATGTTGTTGGTGGTTTCGTTTGGGGCTGCTGTAATTCACGTGGCGGGAGCGAGCCTTGAGTGCGTGGAGCGACAACGGACGAAGGGGCGTCGGCCTCCGTCTCAACGGCGAGCGTGTTGGTTGATAGCGTCGTCATTTTCCTCCTCTATCGAACGGCATGATGTTGCAGCCGGCGTTTCGGAAGAAAAGCGACCTCGAATGTTAAGTGTGGGTGAGCTGTGACCGTGTGTTGCGCCGCGTTGTAACCGGTGTTTGCGATCCGACTACTTTGCGCGTCCTGGCCCTCAACGCTATCCTTTTTCTTCTCAGGTGCCCCCCGAGGACTCGGACCGCTCCCAATCTCTCGCCTCGCAACTGCCGCCAGGCGACTCCGAAGGCGCTCCGCGCTTCCCGATAGAGGTGAAGCTCCTCGCCCTTGTTAGTTTGTACTTGGGGTTTTTTGTTTTCTTGATTTGCGTTGACGGCGCTACCGGCTGACCAATGAAAATATGCCAGTCTTTTGAGTGTTTTTTTTCATGACGGTCCTTGCTTTGGGTCTCTCTCAGAAGCTACCTCTTCTCGTTTCGTGGCTGTTTGTCAAGAGAAGGAGCGATTTTCAAGACGCAAACCTGCTGTGTCTCACATACTACTGTATCACACTAGTTTTGACGAGATGTTTGGAGCAGTCAGAAACGGTTCGACGTGCAGCTCGTCCGTGGGCCTGGCTGCTGTGTGCTCGCTGCACCTCAGACGTGTGGGTTGGGACGGGGTAAACAGCCTCTTCTTCAATTGGATCCAGATTGATGTAGTTGCGTGTAGACATGGGCATACTCGAACGATAGATTGTACCGGCGCTCTAAGGCGCTCGGCCTTGCAGAAGGACCAGAGGTAAATTGAACCCGCCATGTTCGCTTCGCTTGACCTTGTTGGCCTTCCGCGTCTCATGCCGCTCCCCTCGTCTTTCAGATCTTTGAGTCCCTCGAGAACGTGACCGCGGACCCGCGACTATGCTACTGTGGCCACGCGATCGATCCGAATCACGGAGACCGACAGGTAAGTCTCGTCTCCTCTTTTTCGAGTTCTTCTGTGAGTTCTTCCGTTGGCGCTATGCGCGCGCTTCCGAGATATGTACCACAAACAACGGCCTGCCACAGCTGTCGTAGCCAAAAGAAACAAGAGCGAGACCGGCGTCAAGTTTCCCGCCTCTCCCTTAGCAAGACCGAGGAGGGATTTTCTAGCTGCTAGTGGCGTGGAGGCGTTCGAACTTGCTTCCTATCCCCGGGCTGGGTCGGTTTGGTTGGTTGTTGTTGCTGCTGCTGCTGCTGCTGCTGAGTCGCTCTAGAAGAAATATCTGGCGGGACTTCGGCTCGTGGAAGAGGCGACGGTTTCAACCCATGCGTGGGCTTTTGTGATACAAGACTCACCCCGTGCCCTCGGCCCGTTGTTATTGTCCGCGCTCCGAGTAGGTGCGGTCAAAGCTAAGCAGGGAGACCCCCGAGTACCTCATCACCCCGAGAGCGGAAGGCGGGTCGATCGGCCTGTGGCTTCGAGGCTGCCCCGGCTTGAGGATCGCGGCCGTGAGGGTGCAGGTGAAACGACGTTGATTGGTCAAACGCGACGATCCATGGTGCAGTAGTAGATTGAACAGGGGCACGGCGCGAGTCGCGTGCTATCGCATGCCGAGATGGGGGTTGTTTGAGGTAGAAGCTTTGTCGGAACATGAAGTCGGAGCAGGCGGCGTGCTAGTTTCTTACGGTGGTCTCGAAATGCGGCGGAATTTCTCTCTTCATCTCTCTCTCTCTCTCCCTTGTTTTGCTCTCTCTCTCTCACACACACACTCTCTTTCTCGCTCGCTCGCTTACGCTATACGAAATATACTTGTTTTGGGCCTGAGGTTGTGTGTGTGTACTTTTTTTGCCTGTTTTCCACGCGCCCGCTTGCTTTACACCAAACCAACGATGAGTTGGTGGCGTGGCGATCGCTACCGGTAGCCTGTTCGCGTAGCTGGCAAACGCATCGCGATGTGTGGTAAAGTATCGAAAAGAAAACAAGGTGGGTTGCCCCGGCGCCTTGTTGACGTCTTCGCCTTCGTCGAAAAAACGCTTAGCGCTGTAGGTAGCTTCGCGTTGGTCCCCCCTTTGAGGTTGCCCTGCTGTGTTGCTGTACCCCAAGCTACTGCTTAACGGTTTAGTCCGGCCCGCCCTCGCGCTTGTTGTGATTTGGGCAGCTGGGGCATGCGTCTGTCGACCACATCCCGCGCGAGTTGCGCATCATGGGACGCACCATCCAGACCCAGAAGGGGAAGGCCAAGTGGTACGACCTGCCCCTGACGGAGCAGGAGATCGAGCGTGGCAACGCTGTCGGTACGTGTTAGACGAAAGCTTCAGTAGCTGCCCTTCACCTGCTTTTTTGCAAGCCCTTGTCGCAGTGGCGTGATTTGAGTTCCTACTGGCGTTGCACGTGGGACTGCTGCTGCGTAGCGTAGGCTTTTTGATTGCGCCGCTGTCCCTGCATTTTCCCGTTCGTGCTGATTCTCACCCCTGCCCCCCTCATCCTCTCCCCCCCCCCCTTGCGTACAGGCCCCGTCGTCGTGAGCGTCTCCTCCTGCGCTGACGCCAGCAACCACCCGCTCATCGATGCGCTGGAGGTGTACGCGCGGCCGTACCTGGGGGCGGCGGCGGCGGCCGGTGCTCCGGCCCCTCCTCTTCCTCCTGGGCCTACCCGCAGCAGCAGTAGCAGCAGCAGCAGGACGGACGAAGCTCAACCGTCGGCCCTCGCGACAAGCACGATGGAAGCGCTCGAGGCGTGCTCCAGGGTGCTCAGCCACGCGCTCGGCTTAGCGGAAGAGGCGGCGCCGACGAGGGAAGCGCTGTGCCCCGAACTCGCCGACTCGGCCCTGACGGTGCTTCGGAAGACCTGCCTTGCGGCGGACAAGACGCGGTGGCGTGCCCTGCGGTCGTCCTCCCGCCGCCTGCTTGCGACCGCCAAGCCTGACGCTGCGGCCCGCGTCGACTCGGTTCACCGCGCCTACGTGGGCGAGGTTCTACTGGCGCTTGCCGGGGAGGGGGGCTTTGACGGCGGTGACGGCGGCGGCGGCGGCGATGGCACCCTGGGTAAGGAGAACTCGCCATTGTCGCCAGTGCGGTTGACGCGAGTGACCCAGCTCTGTGAGCGTGTGTGCGCCAAGCGGTCGACCCTGCTGAGGGATGAGCTTGCGCCGGCGCTGGCGGAAAAGAGTAACGGCGACGGCGACGGCGGCGGCGGCGACAGTGTCGGTCAGAGCGGCCGGCGGACGCAGCTCGCAAGAAGCTTCGTGTTCCCGGCTCTGGTGCGACGCTTCTGGGAGTCATGCGTGTGGGTAAGGGACGGCAGGGGCAGCATGCAGATGGTGCTCCGTTGCATCCTGCAGCTGGCGGTGGATGAGATGCGGGCGGCGGCCGTAGCGGCGCGTGCTGCCGCTGCGAACGGTGCCTGCGGCAGCAGCAGCAGCAGCGGCGGTGACGTCATCGAAGAGGGTTCGGAGCAAGCCGTCCTTCGCGCGGGGCTGGGGCAGCTCATTCCGCTGCTTCAGTCGAACGTGGCCCGCGTTTCAGAGGCATCGTCGGCGTACTTGGCCACGCTGCTGCTCGGAACCCTGCCGGCCGCAACCGCCGCTGTCGGTGTACCTCGGCCGACGGCTGCGGCGGCGGCAGCGGCGCCGGTGGCAGCCGACGGGCAGCGTCAGGGCGAGAGCGCCGGCGGGGCCGGGGGGGTCACGGCAAGCGGTGGCGAGGGCCTCGGGAGCGGAGCAGCAAACGCGGCGGCGACGGGGGTCGTGATTTCGTCACGGGTGGGAGTTGTGTCGGACGCGTACGCCGCTTCGGCCGGGAGCGCCTCGGAGGCGGAGGGCAGGATAGAGACGGAGGCGACTTCCGACGGGGGGACCGAATCCGACGCCGACCCGGCGGGGGAGTCGGCGGCGGCGGCGGCGGACGGCGGGGGCGGGGGCCACCACGCGGAAGAAGACAGCAGCAGCAGTGTCCAGCTGGCTCTGGCGGGGCTGAGGAGAGCGGGCCACCTGAGCGGCGCCGGCGCCGAAGGGCAAGGCAGGGCGGCGGCGGGCGGCGGCGGCAAGGACGCGTCGCCCGGGCAAGAGGGTTACGGAATTGACCTAGTACCGGGGTCTGTGAAAAGGGCGAGGACGACGTCTTCCGCCGCGCCGTCTGGGCGTGATCTCGCGCCGAGCAACGAGGGCGGTGCCGGGAGGGGCGGCGGTGTGGACGGGGCTGCGGGCCAGGAAGCCGCCCTGACGGGCGCCGAAGGCGCCGCTGCAAGACAAAGCGCGCGCGGGTCGCCGGGGGCAGCTGCGGGGGGGGCGGGGGCGAGGGCGGCAGCCGCGATGGCGGCGGCGCCGGGAAGCTCGGCGTCCTTGAGCAAGAAGCAGGTGTGCTACCGCTGCGACAGTTGCGACGACTGTCCACTCCAGCACGTCCGCTACCACTGCCTGGTGTGCGCGGACTTCGACCTGTGCGCCCGGTGCTACGACAGGTACCACGGCCCGAACAGCCAGTTCCAGGGAGAGAATGCCGTGATGTTGGGCAGCCACAGCACCTCGCACAGCATGGTGGCCTTGCCGGTGAGAAAACAGTCGGTTCGGCGGTGGAGGTGTTTTTCTGTGTCCCGAAATGTATCGTCCGAGGTTGTCCCGTCTGTAGAGTGGTGTGCGCGCATCTTGCGGGCAAGTCGTTGTTGATCAGTATGTCGGTGGGTGGCGTAGCTGCAACGGCGTACGTTTTTTTGTGATTTTACCTATGATTTGCGTAGGTAGGTAGGTGGTCGACAATCTCACCGACACCGCTCCGGTGCAACGCCGCGTGGTTTTTCCGCTTGACATGCTCGGATGATCACTTTTTTCGTGTTCTTGCCTTCTTGTTCACAACAGGTCAACTCCGCGCAACCGGCGGGTGCTTCTGTGCCCACGGGAGCGCCGCAATCCCCCCCGCGCAACTCGAACCCGCCGCCGGCCGCTGCCGCTGAGGCGGAGCCGCGGAGCGCGATCGTGGACCGGAATAACGCGGGCTCCCGCAGCGTGCGAATCGAGGGAGACGACGCAGAACCTGAGAAGGGGGAGGAACTGGAAGGAGAGGAGGAGGAAGAAGAAGAGGAAGAGGAGGAGGAGGAGGAGGAGGAGGAGGAGGAAGAAGAGGAAGAGGAAGAGGACGAAGACGACGAAGATGACGTGGAAGAGGAAGAAGAAGAGGACGAGGAGGAGGAGGAGGAGGAGGAGGCGGAGGAGGAGCATGACCTCGTTGTCGTAGACCTCAGCGAAGGGGGCGCCGAGAAGGACGCTCCGCCCCAGCCGGCGGCGGGGGCCGCGTCGCAGCACGAAGGCCACCAGGACGAGCGGGAAGTTGTCATCCACGATGTCGCCGGCTTTTCTGTTGAAGAGGGTGCGGTGCTGACGGAGGCCGAACGAAGCGTGCGAACCGCCCAGGCCCTGGCGAAGGCCGCGGCGATGCATGAGCTATCCTCGGCGCTGTTCCCCCTCCTTGTCGAGCGACTCCCGGAGGTTATGGGGCAGGAAGCAGCTGCCGAAGACCCTTCAGGTACGCAATCGATGTGTGCGCAGTCGCGCGAAGGATTTTGGTG